TCTTTGTTTGTATGTGGTGCTGAGGATCGAACCCGGGCCGCACGCATGCCAGGCGAGCGCGCTACCACTTGAGCCACATCCCCAGCCCGTCTCTCTCTCTCTTAAAAAAAAAAAAAAGAAACGAAACAAGAGACCATTTACTCTCTGAGTCCCTCTTGCTGTGCAGGCACACAGTGAAGAGGTGAAGATCAGTAGCTCCTTGTGGGGTGAGGGCAGGGGTCCCTTTCCACCTCCTCCTGGGGCAATCCCTTCRCTCAGGTCTGGAAGCCAGGCCTGCACAGACCCTCTGCAGGGGGTATGGGGTCACCTCAGAGGCTGTCTACTCCAGCCTCATCCCAACAATCAGGGATGAAAAGTCAACCCCCCGAGACAGCACTTCAAGCCCACACTGACCAAAGTCAGTTCCAAAGTTTTTGCAAGGTGGCATGGGGACAGCAGGCAGCAGAAGTGAACCAGGAGCAGCCACCTCAACAAGGTGTGAGTGACCGAAGGAAGGACACTCTTCCACCTGTGCCTGGCTCAGCCTGGGGCTTGGATCCCGCGCAGCATCCACTTGGGGAAGCCACAAGACCCCTGGGGGCTTGTCAGCCCCTCTCAGGCCACATGGGGTTGAGCCAGAGCTACACAGTCTAGCAAAGCCTGGAGTCCCCACTGGATTGGGCCCACCATCCCTCTTGGCCTCAGTGACACAATTTCTATTCTGCAAAGGACTGAGGTCAGCAGCCATCTGGTACACAAATGCTGGAAGGGCGTGCATGGCCAACTTCACCTGGGGACAGAGCTGCTGGAGCTGGGGAGTGGGCGTGCTGCCCACCTGCTCGGGCCAGAAATGGAGCGGGGTGGCTCCTGTCCCTCCCGCCAGAGCCGGAAGGATGTGTGCAGGCTGGGCTCACAGGGAACAAGCTGCACAGTACTGAGCCCCAGTGAGCGGGCAGATGCTGGGCTTCAAGGTCCCCGAGCTGCCAGCACTGCGTGCACCAGACCTGCTGGCCAGAGAACGTTCTGTGGGATCACAGAAAAGATGCCACTTTTCACGCCAACATCTTCACTGTCCCTAGATTCCAGGCCATGGACCCAGTTCAGAAGCTGTTCTGAAGCAAAGCAGATGTCACCAGGTGTTCTGCCTGACTGGTCTCCATTTTGGGTGAGGGTGTCAGGGCACATCCACGCTTGACAAATCCTGCTCATGGGGTTCAGAATCCTCACCCGAGTGGCTCTAGCCTCTGCCTGGCCTGGGGCTGCCTGCTAAGCTCTGGTCTCCCAAGTAGAAACTGGAAGCCCCCAGGAATACACACCAAGGAGTGCCCGAGGAACTCAAGCACAGAGTGCAGACAGATGCTGCCAGCCACCCAGCTTCAGCACACAGCACCGTACTGGCTGTGTCCAGCTCCAGCAGGGGAACACCAAGTCCATTCTTATTCCTTTTCTCTTCTACATTCTCTAATTTTTCTACACTGAAAATGGATAATGTGAATGTGAAAACCTTCCTATTTCCTCTTTTTGTTTTCTTCAGTACTGGGGACTGAACCCAGGGCATTCTACCAGAGTTATACCCCCGACCGACCCTTTCTAAATTTTTACTTTTGAGATAGAGCCTTGCTGGCTTGACCAAGCTAGCCTTGAACTTGCCAACCTCCTGCCTCAACTCTCCCAGTCACTGGGATCACAGGCCTATACCACCAAGCCCAGCTTGCACTTCTGTCTTAATGTCCCTTTTAATGTTAATAGTTTCATTCGGTGTTAAAATGTTATTTGCAAACTTATAAAGTACACTGAATTTGGGGGAAAAGGACCTTTAAAAAAGCCACTGAACAAGAAATTCCTGTTTAAACMGTGGTGTTGTTCTTTTTGTTTTATTCTTTTGTAGAAGCCTGCAAAGATGTTCCCTGCTCAGAGAACAAATTTGCGGGGAACTGCCTGTTTGTCAGAATGCCGGAAACACGACGGTTAAAGCAGACTCCCSGCGCGCGCGGGGACCTGCGGCTCTGGGCCTGGCTGGGGCTGCGCTGCCACCTGACAGGGCCCTGCCCTGCACCGCTGTTCCAGTTTCCCAGCGCGTTGCCCTCCGGACGGAGGAAGGGGCGACTTCGCGAGGCACCTGCCAYGGGGCCCTGGCCCCTGTTGGGCACCTCCCTATCCGCGTCCCSGACCCCACGTGTCCAGGTCCACCGCCCGACTAGGGTCCCGGGTTCCCGAGACCCCGCCCCCGCCCTGTGTCCCCGCCCTACCTGTGTCACCGGCTCCTGAGACCCCGCCCCCCGCCCTACCTGTGTCCCCGGCGCGCGTGGCCGCCGCAGGAGGGACCGAGGCCGCGTCTCCGCGCGGACGACCGCCACGTGGTGGCGCGCGGGGCAGAGAGGACCGACCGGCGCGGGGCGCGGGGGCCGCCCGCCCGCAGGGGTCCCGGGCCAGGGCCGACGCGGGGCGGGCGGCGGCGGCGCGCTGTCATTCGTGCTGGCTCACGTGCTCGGCGGACACCGCCCGGGGGCGGCGGGCCGGACCCGCCCACCCCCGCGGCCGGCCGGAGAGGGGGCGGCGCTCGTGTGCACCGCGAGGCCTCGCGGGAGGGGCCCGCAGGCCCGGGTGGAGCGGGGACACGCCGCGGCGGGGGCCGGAGGTGACGCACAGGAAGCCGGCGCACTCCTCGCCACCCTACGGGCGCCCGCCCCTCGGTGCCCCGCGCGCCCGGCCGGCCCGGAAGGCCGCGGCGGGACCGCCTCGCGGCCGCTGGGGCCGCCCTCGGAGCCACCCACCACGCCCGGCGCGCGCTGGTTGGCCGAGCCACGGAGGACCCGCCCCRGGGCGTGGCTTCCGGGCCGTCCCGCGCCTGCGCGGCACCTGCGGTTCCGGGTTCCGCGGTGGGCGGCCCGGCGTGCGGCGGTGTGCTCTTCTGCGACGTCACTGCAGGGCCAGAGGCTCAGCTTTAAAAGTTAGGGTGCGGTCCTGGGGGGGAACCCGGGGGGCCCTTGCCGTGGCGCTCTCTCCCCCACAGGAAATCGAGATTGAACTTCTCCAGAAGGCGTCTCCGTAATCGATCTGTCAGCAAGAGCCTCGGCAGGAGCCCAGGTCCTGAGCTTCCTAGCTCCGGACGCCTTCCCCGGCCGGCCTGAGCGGTCAGCACGCCAGGTGTGCAGCGCCGCTTTACTGACTCTTCACAGACGTTTATGAACTCTGTAGCCTGTGCATGTGAAACGATGTGTAAAGGCTTTCAAGGGAAGTGTGTCTGCCAATGCAGAGTGTGATAAGAAAAATAGATTSTCTTAACTAGATCCCTGGCCTTGAAGTTTCCAAATCAAAGATAAGGTCACTAACTGGGCTCTGTGGAAACAGCTGGCAGGGTGAGGGGAGGAAAGGGGAGAAGACTCCCCTTCTCAGTCGCGGTCCTTGAAAGGTTAACATGCCCAGAACAGTAAAAAGAAAAAGCTTTTTTTGTGTGTGAACTTGACTGTGAACTTCTGAGCCTCTCCTTACACGCTGGACATAAAGTTCTGAAACTGCCTGAACTTGGAGTTCAGGGGGATTAATTGATTACAGCAAAAGCTGTACCCTCTGAACCTGGCCGCAGCCAAATAAAACTGATTCCTGCTACTTTCTGTGTCTTGCCTTGTCTCCTGAAACACTACCACTGAGCTACATCCCCAGCCCTTTGGGGGACATATTTCTTGGTTGGCCTCCAACTTGTGATACTCCTGCCCCAGCCTCCTAAGTCACTAGGATCACAGGCAACTTTTAAAATATTACACTTGTTTTTCGTTAGTTTAGTTTCTCCATCGTCATATASCTAAGGGTCTGTTAAGGTCAGCCTCCTCTGTCTGATCTCGGGGTAGCTGCCCTAGTGTCTCCCACTCCCCCAGGGACATTAGGGGCAGGTGGAGGGGTCGTGGGTATTCAGGGAGTGGGTCAGGGCTTGGGCCTAAAAATGGAAACATTTTTAGATGAAAGAAGTAGAAGTGAAACTCTAGTGTTCACMTGAATGGGAACCCCAGCCTGGCACAGTGGCCAGGTCTGTGATCACAGCCAGGCTTTTACAGGGATTTGGGGAAGTATGTATATTTGGAGGCTGTGGCAGGGCCATCACAAATTCCAGGCCAGCAGGGTAACTTAGTGAGACCCTGTATCAAAATAAAAAATAAAAGGATTGGGAGTGTAGCTTAGTGGTAAAGTGCGCTCGTTCAATCCTGAGTAACTACAAAACATAAAATGAAATAAGAAATAAGCCCGCACAGTGGCGCACACCTGTAATCCCAGAGGCTCRGGAGGCTGAGACAGGAGGATTGCGAGTTCAAAGCCCGCCTCCTCTAAGCATCTCAGTGAAACCCTCTCTCTAAGTAAAATACAAAATAGTTTACTGGGATGTGAGTCTGTGGTTGAGTGCCCTTGAGTTTAATCCTGATACAAAACAAAAAACAGAACCACAGAACGAACAAGATATCAGTCTTCTCTTGCCTAATKTTGGCATCCAGAGGACTGCACAGGTCTTGGAATTGGCTAAGCCCTGGTCACATCTGAACAGAAATGCCTCCAAGAAGCCTCCAGATCCTTCACTATTGACTCTTAGGATATGGAACCGGCTTTTCAAGATTGGGCATGAGCAGGAGCCAGGGATGTCTGAGGAACCGATACCCCAGAATTAATGCTTGGCACCCACCGGCTGTGGCCAGGAGAGCGGTTCCCCAATCCCTATACAGGGTTACTGCCGCAGCCCCTGCGAGGTGGCACATAGGCGAGAGCCCCCCAYTTCCGCCCGTTGCCTGTCACTCTCAGCCCTCTCCAACACTCTGCCAGTCACTGGCCTCAGGGATAGCCCAGAGCAGGACCTTTGCCAGCTACAATCAGGGCACAGCTTCTGGGGCAGAATTTCCTGGTTGGCACGAAGCCTACCGTGCYAGCAACCGCCCATCTGTCCCGGCTTTATTCAGCAAGCTGGCTGTACCCGATCATTTCAAAAGCAAATTTATAACAATATTGTAGAGATTTTTACATTTCACGTGAACAACGTCAGGGAGCCTGGGCAGCTTCCCTCCTGGGCAGGGTCTGCGCAGTGCCCTGGCTCTGCTGCCCACACACAGACCCAGAGGCCTGGGAGACCCAGACCCCGTRTGTGCGCCCACCCTCTGCATGTTGACAGCATTTGTCCCCAGATGCTCYCAGGTGACGCACATTTCCCCCTTGAAAGGAGGCTCGCGAGTCCTTGCACCTTGGAGAGGCCACGGCCAACTGGCCTGGGTTTGTCTGAATTTGCTGGAGTGTACACTTCTTCCTTTGGTGGGAGTCAAAGCAGAACTCTGGGGTGAGAAAGTATAGCTAGCAAAGGCCCTGCACCCTCCGCAGCCCCAGGATTCTGAGCATGTGACTTCCTGGCCCTTTGCTGGTGTGAATGGTGGGGTGGGCATGGACTTCTGATCATGTACAAGTTTGGTCATTTACTATTTCCTTATTACCTCTTTGTATGCTTCCTTGAATCGTCAGTTTCTTTCCTTGAACAGCTTTTTCGGGTAATGTTTTATGTGGACTGTGTGTTTTTTAGGTACCAGGGATTGAACCCAGGAGCACTCAACCACTGAACGACATCCCCAGCCCATTTTCCTTTTTATTTAGAGACAGGGTCTCACTCATTTACTTAAAACCTCACTGAGTTGCTGAGGCTGGCATTGAATTTGGGATCCTCCTGCCTCAGCCTCCCAAGTTGCTGGGAGTACAGGTGTGACCACTGGGCCCAGAGGGGCTGTTACCAATCTTAGGCTCGGAAGCTTGCCTCCCAGACAAACCAAGGCCCAAAAGAGGAGTGCTGGGGGGAAAGGAAGTCTGCGGCACTGAGGGTGCCAGCAGTCTGGAAGGAGACAGTCCTTTTAACGTCTCAAGTTCCCCTTCCAGGTTTGGGGATGTGAGGTGTCTCCCTGAGGATCACGCTGGGGGCCACCTGAAGGACRCGGTTTCCCAGGAGCTGGCCTTGGGCAGCCTGGTGTATCGGTGCCCACGGTGCCCACTCTGGGTGGGAACTCCCTGTGGCCACCTTCTTGTAGGGCAGGATGTCCCCATTTTGGGTCAGATTTGTGGTAAACAACTGTTTTTTGGAATTAGCTCAGGAAAAAAACAAGCCGGCCAGGCACAGTGGTGCACACCTGTGGTCCTAGCAACCCGAGAGGCTGAGGCAGGAGGATTGCAACTCAAGACCAGCCTGGCAGTGTAGCAAGACTCTATCTCCAAATAAAAATCTAAAGAGGTCTAAGAGCGTGGCTCAGCAGTCAAGCACCCGATTCTATCCCCAGTAACACAAAAGCCAAGTGAGGCCACAGGATGAGAGTGAAGGCCACACCTGGTGTGGGGAAGGGAACAGAGCGAGGAGAGCAGGACGGGCACAGCCTCTGTCCTGTGCACTCCTCAGCCTGAGCCGAGGCCCAGGACCCGGCAGCTCCCTGCTGGACAGGGTGCAGGTCTGGGCGGGGAAGACCCACCTGCAGACCACAGGCTGTTTGGTCAGCAGGTGACTAGAACTGGCAGCCACCTGGTGGCTGTGAGGTGGTGAGTGCCACCCTGAAAGGAGCCAAGCAGGTGGAAGGTGCAGCCACCAATGTGAGTGGAGCATAGAGAAGCCAGAGACGCAGCCATAGGTCACCTCAGGCTACTCTCGTTCCACTCCAAACGGTTCCATGGGAAAGGACCACTGAAAAAAAAAAAAAAAAAAACTACTTCTGCCAGGCACAGTGGCGCTCCCTGTAATCCCAGTGGCTCGGGAGGCTGAGGCAGGAGGATTGTGAATTCAAAGCCAGCCTCAGCCATGGCGAGGTGCTAAGCAACTCGGTGAGATCCTGTCTCTAAACAAATTATACACACACACACACAATGGCTGTGGCTGTGGCTCAGTGGTTGAGTGCCCCTGAGTTCAATCCCCAGTACCAAAATCAAACAAACAAAACAAAACAGCTGGGGGTGGCAGTGCACACCTGCCATCCCAGTAGCTCAGGAGGCCAAGGCGGGAGGATCACAAGTCCAAGGCCAGCCTGGACAACTGAGGGAGACCCTGTCTCAAAATAAAAAGTAACGACAGCTGGGGTTGCCGCTCAGTGGTGAAGCACCCCYGGTTCAATCCCCAGTGCTGAAGCCAAGCAAACACCATCCCTGGGGGCAGCGATGTACCTACATCAAGGACCCTGGTCAGAGCCAAGGGGACAGGCAGTCAGTGGGTCATCAAAGCAGCTGGGACGGGCCCAGGAAGGAGGCGTGCAGGGGCCTGCAGCGCCCCGGCCAGCCCATCCCACTGTCAGGCGACAGTCTGTGCAGATCTGCTTTCCCTGAGTCACCAGTGTGACCTCTCTTCATTTCGAGGTGCTCACAGAGGATGGGCACAGGTGGGTAGAGGGGAGTCTGCCTGGGCAGAGCCTGGAGAGGGTCAGGCCCTCACGGGCACCTGGAGACTTGCCTGGTTGTGGAGCTACTGTAAAGGGCCTTTGCAGAGACTTCCCAAGGGGGCAGAACTTCAGACTGGGGCCAGGTGGCATGCCCAGGGGTGTGGGCGTGGTCTGCTTGGGCCTGTCCCTGTCTGGACTTGGCATCGATTGGGGCTGCAATGCCCATGCTTCCCTGGTTCTGGGGATGCCCCTGGCCAGGGCTGTCAGGGTACAGTGTTGGGCCTGGAGGGAGGGACAGGCAGGGGACAGGAGCCAGCTGACGATTCGTCAGCCAGAGGAGGCTGGGCCTGGGCTGCCTAGCTGTGGGGCGCAGAGGCCCCCGGGTTCCGGAGCCCGGCTGTGCCTTCCTGAGTGTTCCCACCCAGACTGCGGGTCCAGGTGAGGCCTGGGGACACTTGGGTGGATGGACACTGTCCTGGGGTGGCCCCAGCTGTCCTCCTGGTTGACCCTGCTGACCGGGTCCTGCTGGGCCTGAGCCTGCAGCCCTTCCCACCAACAGGTGAGCATCAGGTGGGTAAACCGAGGCCGCGGGTCTTTCCAGGTCATTCTGTGGCCAGGCTGCACTCCCCCCACTCCTGGCCTGTGGCTGACTGGGCSGCCTGCTGTCCCCTGAGGCTGTGTGTCTGTTTCTGTTGCTGGTAACACGCCCACAGTCTGGGAAGCTGTGGAGAGGTTTATTTTGGCTCATGGTTCTGGCCCAAGGTCGAGGGCTGTCTCTGGTGGTGCCTGTCTGTGGGCAGGGTCCTGGAGCACCGTGTGGTGAGAGGGAGCACGTGTGCACACCGGGTGCTCATCTGGTCTGTCCCTCTTCTCCTAAAGCCACTGGGATCCAAACTGGGGCCACATCCTGCTGACCCTGTCTTTGCCTTGACCCACAGTCACAGTAAGTCGCTTGCACAGACACCCCACAGCGGGGACTGCGCTGCAGCCCGCAAAGCCTGGGGACACTCAGCCCTGCCACGCCCCYGTCCCTTGGTGTCCCTGTGTCCTGGGTTTCTGCATGTCAGTTCTCACTTTCCTGCCAGCTGTGTGGACCGGCTGGGACTGGATTCTGGCTCTCAGGACCTGCTGGTGCAAGTGGAGCTACTGGCCAGGGATGCAGTGTCCTGAGGCAGCGCTTCCCGGGGCAGTGTTCTCACTGGGCTCAGAAGGGTGGGCAGTCCTCTGGGCTGGTCCTGGCCAGCCCTCCTCTGCAGGTCTGCACCTGCTGGTGGAGGCTTCTGGGAACGGTGTCTTCAGCGTCCTCCCCCGGGTGGCCTCAGTTTACCCACTGGTAAACGCTATTTCCAGATTCTGAAGGCCACTGCGCTCTGGTCTGGGTACTTCTAGGAGCTGAATGTGGTCARAGTGGTAAAAAGCCTTCCACCTGGCGAGCGGCCAGTTGCTGCCAGTCTGTTCCGGACCTCTCCTCCACCTTCCCTGGCATCCTGCCTACTGCCTCCCTTGATGGCTGCCAGTCAGACTTGGCCCTGGCACACCCAGACCTCCAGGGGCCATGCCAGTCTGTGTACGACTCCTGGGTGGGTTAACAGCAGCCTTGGGCCTGGCCAGGCCACCTGCTGGGGTCCAGAGCTCAAGGCACAGTCTGCTGAGACACTGGATGCTGTTGCCTGAGGCTGCCAGAGGCCCTGGCCTGAGCCTACCAGCGAGGCCCACAGGCTGTCTGGGGCCTCTGCCCACCCAGGCAGGAAGGTTAAGGCCCTGAGGTCAAAGGCCTCGGCTGGGGGGCAGGATCCTGGGGTGGGAACCCCACCACTGGCGAGCCCTCCCTCTGCAGGGCTTACTCCCTGCCTCCGAGTGCTGGTGGCCACAAAGGCCTGCAGGCCTGGGGCAGGGCAGCACCTGCCTCACTGTGGTCAGTGGCACCTGGGGCCTCTGCAGCACTGAACCCGTGACCAGTGCTCTTAGGCCACAGCCAGCCTGCTTCCCAGCCACTGGGCAKCGAGGTACTAGGTACCTGTCCCTGTGCCCACAGCAGTGGCCATCACAGAGGTCCACTCCTCCACATTTCCAGAGAGCCAGTGGGAGGCTGAGCTGGCCTGCAAGGGTGGGTGTGAAGGGGCCGACAGCTGGACCCACTGATGGTGCTGCCACGGCTGCTCTACCCTGAGCGCACTGCTGACCACTGATTGCTTACCTGCACCCACCTGGTCCCAGGACTGGGCTCCCTCCTGGCTGTATGCACAGCCAGGCTGGGGGAGCAGCCCGGGGGCAGCATCCAGCACAGGGAGGCCCTGGATAGGGCTGACGGGGGGCCGGCCCCCACCCACCAGGGAGATGTCCCAGAGTCCTTAACTGGTTGCCAAAAGCCAAAGAGAGGCTGTTGCTCAGCCCAGCTGTTTTAAACAAGTCTGTTTATTGAAAGGATTTGAAAACAGTAGTAAGGCCTTCAGCAAGGAACACGTGTCAAGACACCGACAACAGGAGACGACGCGACTCGCGGCTGCAGACCAGCCCACGCTGGGTGGCGAGCTGCACCAGTGGGCTGCCTCCCTGGGGCCCCCAGCCCCACCCTGGCTTGTGGTCCCCTGCCCAGGCCATACCAGGTTCCCGGGGTGGAGGAGTAGGAGGTAAGGGACACGCGGACGAGGGGCTTGTGCTCCAGCAGGCCCRGAGGCCCTTCTGCCCAATGTGAGGCCTGCGAGGCCTCCTGCGGCAGGACGGGCACCTTCCCTTGGAAGCCCCATTGAGGAAGGTCARCAGATGAAGGGGAGCTGGAGCCTCGAGACACGAGCCCCCCGACACCKTGGCACGGCCCAGGGCCCCGGGGCTGCCGCTCCTGCTCTGCTTCCAACAGGCCTCGCTGTCCCCACATGAGGARATCATCTCAGAACCCTCACCATGGCCTCAAAACAGGGGGCCCCACCCTGAGAAGTAGTGGCTCCTCTCCTGGACCCTGGACCATTAGCGYGGGGCTGGACACAATGTAAACACTGGACTACAGGACGGTCCCCCTCTAAATCTACACAAAAGTGTGTACAAGAAAATATGTACATAAGCACTTGAGAAAGTTCAGAAGAGTCTCTAGAAAGTACGTACAGGGTTTAAAACACCTTCTGGGAGTTGCCGCAGCCGCCCTGCTGCAGGAGGTTCAGAGCGGTCCCTGGGGGGCGTGTGGCTACCCCAGAAGCCAGGACAGCAGAGCCCCTGGTGCCCGAGCCCCAGAAGCACAGGGCGGAGGGGAGAAGCATCGCACCTGAAGGAGACTCTGGGCTGAGGCATTTATTTCAACACGGAAGGACAGATCAATCCTCTCCAACCCTCTGAATCTCAAGACTGATATATGGAAAGTCCCCGACCTGGAATCGCAAGAGCCTTGCTGGGGGCTGCAGGGCGCCCAGCACGGCTCTCACTGTACTTTAGAAATGAAAAAGAGTCAGATTAGAAAAGGTAAAAAGCTGATCTGGTCGGCAAAAGGCAGACCGGGCTCCCCTGCTGCAGGCGGCAGGTGGGACGCGGTGGGATGTGGTGGGACAGCGAGGCCGGGCACTGCCCGGTGCTGCTAGCTGTCCTCCCCGTCCTCTTCATCCTCTGCAAAGTGAGCTTGCTTCTTCCTCACGTTCCAGTGCAGACACTGGGCCAGGCTCTCGAACCAGTCGCTCACCGGGTCTCGCACACAGATGGAGGGCAGCGGGTAGCGGGAGGTGGTGATGGTGATGCTGCCCGGGTAGGTGCACGGTGAGCCCCGCCCACTCCAGCAGCCCGGGGCCTTGCGCCCACAGTGAGCCCACCCACTCCAGCAACACTGCGCCTAGCACCCAAGAGAGYGGGGGCAGACCCTCACCAGCCTCCTGGCCCGTCCCAGTCCTGGCTGACGGGCCTCCCCATGCTGGACAGCCCACCCAGGAGGTGGCCTGAGGGGCGAGATGCCCTGGAGGACCCAGCGGCTGCCTGAGRTGGTGCAGCTGTGGACCTGTCACCCTAGGTTCAGCAGTGGTGGGCGGTCACCATGGCTGTGTGGAGGGATGCCCAGGCTTGCTGAAGGCCCTCTGCTGCACCATGTGGCCACCCTGCCACAGGCCCCGGRCAGTCAGGCCCCAGCCCACACACACCTGTCTCCGTGGCGGATCTCCTGCCTCTTCCGTCCATCCAAGGATACCCATGCAGTGTTCCTAGCTTCTGGTGACAGCATGATCTGAAGAGGTTGAGAAGGGACAAGCGTCGGCCTGGCCGTGAGCTCCAGGGCCTCCTGCAGACACAGCCTCTCTGCCACCAGGCACTTCATGGATGTCTGGGGCTGGGGACCAGGAGGCCAAAGCCCARGCAGGGACCTGTGGTAGGGACTCCTAGAAGGGTCTTTCTTCACCCGGAGCCACTTTGGCCACCCCCACTCAACAGGGCCCTTCCCAATGCAGCTGGGTGCCCCGTGGGAGGCTGGCCCACTCTCTCTGCTGCCAGGGACAGAGACAGGGACAGGTGTGGGCCCTCTCCCCTGAGGCCCAGGTCTCTCAGGCCCATCTGAGCCCCAGCCAGGTGGGACTGGCCTCCCAAGGGGCACCAGCCAGCCTGGATCCTGAGGCCATGGCCTCATGGTCAGCTCCATGGTCAGCACCGTGGGGGGGGGCGGGGGGGCAAGGCTATAGAGGCAGCTGGTTTACCAGGGGCAGAGGGGTGCTGGCCCTGACCTTCAGCTCAACTCCTGCAGGGACCACGATGGGCCGGAAGGACAGTGAGTGTGGGCAGATGGGTGTGAGCATGATAGCCGGCACGTTGGGGTGGATCATGGAGGCTCCCGCTGCCGCTGCGTACGCTGTGCTGCCGGTCGGGGTGGACACAATGACTCCTGCAGGGACAGGGTGCGGGTTTGCTGTCCAGCCTCACAGCTCCTCAGGACGCAGGGGGCACGCAGCCTTACCATCGCCCTGCACTGTGGTGATGAGGTGTCCGTCCAGGTAGACGTCCACGTTGGACAGGTATGAGGAGGGGCCTCTGTCAATCACGACTTCGTTCAAGACCTGGAGGGGACAGTGGGCCACTGCACTCAAGGAGGGTGTCAGGGCCTGGGTTGCAGCGCACCACCGGGGCCTGCACCCTGGAGTCCAGCCTCCATCATCCCCAACCACTCCCCCAGACCACAGGACAGGAAGGACACGGCCAGATCAGCAGGGGCATCCACAGACCTGATACTGCATGGCCTGCTTCCCAACCTCGGGGTCCAGGCCTGGGGCTGGCAGGCCATTTTCACTGAGTCCATTGTGGACGGTCATCTTCTTGCCTCTGAGCTCCTTCACCACCCTGACCTTCAGCCGGCTCCGAAGAACAATAGCTGCATTCCCTGGGGGCCAGTGGGGTCAGCAGGGCCCTGCCCAGGGAGTCGGGGTCCACCCGAAGGCGCAGAGACCCTCCCTTTCTGCCCCCAGCCCCAGGCCGCCTGGCCTTACCTTCTATCACCTGAGCCACTTGGGACTGGAAGTTCTCAAAGGTGAAGGGGGTCAGGAAGCCCAGGGAGCCCAGGTGGAAGGCCATGACGGGAGGCACGCTGCCCTGTGGAGAGGAGGGCGGGCGCTGAGTCCAGCCTGCCCCAGAGGCACAGCCGCGCTGTAGCAGATGGCCAGGCCTTGGGGACTCAGCCCTGTCCCCAGGCCGCCTGCACTCCAAAGACAGCACAGTGTGGCTGCGGGGCAGCTGTGGAAGTGGGGGTGGTCAGGGGAGGGGCCCTGGATGTGGGGGGTGCTCAGGGGAGTAAGTGGTCCTGAGACACACGGGCAGTCTTAGAGGGAGCGGTCGCCGCTGGCCCTGGTGGCTGGGAATGCTGATAAGAAAAACAAGACCCAGCAGCTCTCTGGTCACAGAACAGGAAAGAAGTGGGCAGTGCCGGCCACAGGGCTCTGACACGGGAGACCAGGCCCCGCAGGCTCTGGAGGGTGAGGAGACCTGGCAGCCCTGGGGTGGCGGCAGGGCAGCGTGGGGTCGTTTTGACAGCCCCTACACATAATGGGGTGAGCAGAAGCCACGGTCCCCACAACAGGGCAGCCTGTGGCCCTGGAGAGGCCCACTCTGATGTAGGATGGGACCACTCCCTTCTGTCCCAGGCCACTCTGTGCCCCTTACTCTCATCCCCAGCAAGTTTCTGGGCTCCTCATTGGCGTCCAGGAGGCTGCCCTGCCCACGTCCAGCTGCTCTCCACAGGCCTCCTCGCCTGAAGGAGGCTGCCCGAGGGCTGGGTCCTGCCTTGCATGGGGTGAGGCCCAAGGGCTCTAGTTGGCCCCTGGCCTCCTTGCACCACACCCCCCTAGCTGCCCTGATGCCCTGGCCACACCAGCTGTCCCCAAGGCTGTCCCATCTGGACCTGCAGCCGCCCTGGGCACTGTCTCCCACCAACGTCCCTTCCTGCCAGCGGGGCTAGGCAGTCCCGGGCCCCGGCCTTGCCGAGTACCAGGTGGCAGCAGCCGTGCGGCTTGCACTGTTGCTAACAACGGCCTGGAGAACACTGGTCTCCCCAGGGTAGGCAGGCAGAGCAGCTCGCCACCCTGGGCCAGGAGCTCTCACCCGGGGTCTGCACCCACAGCCAGCTCACCTGGAAGAGCGACGAGGCGTAAAGCAGGGTCCCGTCTCCCCCCAGGCAGATGATGAAGTCAATCTGGTTGGAAATGTCGTCATAATCTGGAAGCAGACAGAACCAAGCAGCAGCGGTCAGAGCCTCTGGGTACCCACGTGCCCAGAGCAGACAGCCAGGGGACGGCGGGGGAGGGGCTGCAGCACACCTTCCCGGAAAGTGCAGAACTTCTTCTTCACAGGCCCAAAGTTGTCGTCGCAAGCTATGGCAGGGTCTTCCAGCACCTTCTTTTCCACGTACACGATCATGTTGTTCTCCTGGAGGTGGGACGTGAGGCGGAGCACGCACCTTAGCCCACCGTGTGCTCCGCCCGGACCACGCTGCTCCTTCAGCACTCCTGCAGGCCGGGCAGGCTGGGACCGGGGTGGGAAGGGTGGCCCGGAGGGCTGGGACCCGGGTGGGAAGGGTGGCGARCCACTTCCTGCCTGCCTGCTTCTCCCACGCTCAAGGCCTCAGCGCCTTCTGCTCCAGTGGCTCTGGAACCAGGCACCCTGTGTCCTGTCCCCGGGACTCGCGGGTAGAGGCTCACCCCCACTCGGGCACCAGGAGGAAACTGAGCTCCACGGTGCTACTCATAGGAGGGGCCTCTGGAGGGGATCTGGGTCAGCAGCCAGCAGGGCGGAGCCCCTGGCTGAATCATGGTGGCTCTGAGGGACAGAGACCACGTGTGTGTGCTGCCTCTTGCCACATAGTGCCCTGTGTCACCTTGGGACTTGGCCAGCAAGGCAGCCATCRCCAGATGTGGCCCTGGACAGTGCATCTCCAGAACCGTGAACCAAAAGAAGGCTCTTTGGTTAAAACTGACCTGGCTGGTGGGACCGTGCGACAGGCAGTGAGGGGCCACCCAGCTCCGAAGCCCGACCTCCCACACTGCAGCAGCACTGGGGAGGCAGGACAGAGGAGCACTGGAGTGGGGGGCGAGGAGGGTGCCGCCCTCTGGGCAGTGGCCCCCGTGCCTTCCCTCTGCCATCTGAGGGTGAGCGGGCACAACCCTCTAGCTTGGACTGCCTGGCCTCAGACCCTTCTCCACAGAGCTCCCTGTCTGTGGGCCCCCAGCTCCAGGGTCCCCTACTCGCGCCTGCTGCCTACGCCTGGGACGGGGTTCCACTGCCTGCCAGTGTGCACAGGAGGCCTCCTCGGCCCGACTTGCCTCCATGAGGTACACGCACAGCTCTTTGAAGGGCTGCAGCAGGCTGGCGTCCCGGATCTTCTTGATGACAAGCACGCTCTTTGGAGACTTGTTCCACGTCAACCTCTGGCTCGCAGGGTCCTGAATGTGCCTGGCGGGAGGAGAGAAGTCAGCAGGCGTTGGCCCTGGAGGAGGAGTCCCTGAGGGGCCGCGCCTCCTGGACACACACACTGCACAGTGGTTGTGGGAGCCTGGCACAGATGCCAGCACCAGGGCACAGCAGATCTACTCTCTCGGTTGCTGTAGACCCAAAGACCCTGCCTTGCCCTGCCTGCTACCTGCAGGGCTCAGCCAGGTCCCTGCAGGCCCCCCCACTCACCTTTGCAGGCCTGTGCACAGAACCCATGAAGAAAAGAGGCCAGGAAACCAGGAAAGCCCTCAGCCCCTCGAGGACACCGGCCCCACCCAGTCGGCTGGGATTCTACCCACTCCAGGGCTGGCCCCAAGGACACAGCGGTGCTTCCTGCACAGATGACACCACCAGGTGAGGGGGCTGGCCCTCGTGGTCACAGTAAAGGCTGCTTGCTCAGAAGGTGGCGGCAGCCCTGCTTGCCCAGTGCCCACGGCCCTCCACTCTGCTGCCTCAGCGCACCAGCTCGACTCCTCACACRGCATGCTGAGGGGCAGGTGGGGTCCTCCAGAGGCAGGGCCACCAGCAGGCTCTTCTACAACTCAGCAGTCCCAGGAACCGCCCTGGTCTACAGTGCCTGGGGCACGTGTGGACTGCATGTGCCACAGAGCCAGCTGCAGACGGTAGGCATGACAGGCAGCTGGCACWTTCCCTGGCGCCGTACTGCCTGCCTCAGCCCCTTTCCAGCAGGTCGTGCCTCATGGGCAGCGAGAGCCCACCACAGAGCCTCAAGCCAGGCTGCACAGCACCAACCACAGCAGCAGTGCCTGGCCTTGTCCTGTCACTGCTGGGAGACGAGGGGCTGCTCATGGCACCCTCTCTTAGCCTCACCACCTGCTCGCACCTCTCTTGCAGCTATGAGGTGACCTCCACCCTCCAGGGGGCAGCCTGCATATCCACAGCATCTTGGTTCCGTCTGCTGCAGGCGGGTGTGCAGCAGCAGCCCCTCACCGCCAGCTCCACATGCCCTCGCCCCATGGCCAGCTCTGCACGCKTCAAGCTGAAGGCAAAGGGCAGCTCGCAGGACTCACGTCTTCAGAGAGCGACTCAGAGAGCTTCCCAACATGACGAGAATCAAGACAGTGGGGTGGCTTTCTTGCTGTTCCCGCTCCTCCATCCACGTAAGAGGCCCACTCTACCTGTTCCTAGCGGAGTGCCATGGCCGCCAGCCTGCCCAGCTCGGCCTCGGCTGCAGCCTGTGCAACTGGCCAGGCCTGCTCGTGGGCCTCGGGCGGGTGAGAGGCTCCAGGAGGGAGTGTGGGATGCTCACAGCCCTCTGCCCTGTCAGGTGGCGAGAGCCCTGCTCCGCACGTGGCCGCCCAGCRGGCCCGCTCCTACTGCAACTGCCCTGGGCAGCCCCATCAAGACTCTTCCAGCCCTGAGGCCTCGCTGGGCCCAGCCCGTGTCGTGACCAGCAGTGTCATCACACATGGCCTGGGCACCAAGCCCTCTGCGTGACCATAAATCAGTCTCTCGACTTCCTGCTGGGTCATCTGCACAGTGGGGTGCTGACCCTCCCAGGCCCACAGGTGCAGGTGTGGTGTGAAGCCTCAGCCCTGCCTGCCCGCAAAAGCTGCAGGTGAGAGTTGGGGGCCCACAGGTGAACCGACTGTTGGCCACACCCCCTCAGGTGCCAGTGACGCCACAGCAGAGCACACACACGGTAGGCAGGTGGGAAGGGTGTGCACCCCAGCACCCCCTGCCCCTGTGAAGCCCGGGAAGGCGTGCAGACAGGATGGCCGTGGAGCCCGCCCCCAGCTAGGGCATGACAGCCTCCATGTGGCAGAGAAGAGGCTGCCCTGGGTGCTCACCTTCCACCCTGCCAGGCCCACCTGCCTGGGGAGGCCTGACCTTGGGAAATGGCTCAGAGGCCATCCTGAAGCCCAGCCTGAGAAGGCCACAGGAAAACACATGGCTCGGACAGCGACTCTGYGCCTGGCCCTGGTGACTGCTGGCTAAGGGAGGCTGGGCAGTGGTGAGCCCCCTCAGGGCTGCCACTAAGTGAGTAGCCTGGACAGGTGTGCCAGGAGGGCCTCGGGCAGCCAGGGGTGGGGCCACATGGAGCCCTGGTCACAGGGAGTGACAGGCAGGTGCGCCACCAGGCAGGGCTCTGGAGTAGCTGGGGTCTGGAAGGCTGGGCGGGCTGGGCAGAGGACAGACTTCAAGGCTACGGGAGGCCGCTAAGAGTCCACACAGGGCAGGGTGCAATCCGAACCACTGGGCGGAAGGGCTGGGGAGCAAACGTGGGCTCAGAACCATCTTCCCAGTCCAAACTGTACAAGAACAGCTCCTGGAAAGCATGTGGGGTGACRCCAGGGCCCCGGGGACCTGCAGTTCCCTCATGGACAGGAAGGTGACAGCATTGTCACAGGGATCCGCACTGCCAGGCCACTCCAGTCTGTAAAGCAGCTCCTCCAACAAGCTRAAGGTGATGGGCCCATACTTCTGCTGTCCCCAGGCTGCAGTTCCAGGAGGTGGGCCAGGTGTCTCACCCAGGTGGCACTGCAGCACCGAGCCGGCAGGCACAGTGCAGCCCCGGGGACACCAGAGCTGGCCAGCCCAGCCCCTCACCCAGTGCCGTAAAGGTACAATCCACAGGCAACTTCCCGGCTTCCACTCTCGAGTCCACCTGCAACCTCCAGGCACAGCACCACCCTCGACACAGCCACCGGCCCCATGGCAGACCCACACAGCACGGCATGTGACCTAGCCCTGGCGGGACGGAGACCTGAGCGGGGTGCTCCCCAACTCCAGGAGCACCTTGGTGCAGGGTGAAGGTGGGAAGAGCAGAGCTCTGACCCTTGGAGGTCAAAACGCTAATGTCAGATCACTTTGGCTTTTCCCTCCCACAARCCCTACCCGCAGCCAGACCACCACGCAGAGCGCAAACACTGGCTCCGTCAACACCACGCAGAGCTGGACTGCGGCGCTGTCACTAGCGGGCTGGGGGACGGAGACTGGCACACTCCCAAGCCTGCCTCCTCCAGGGCACGTGGGCCAGCAGCAGAGCCAGCACAGCGAGGAGGGGACCCTGGGCTGGGCGTGGCCCTGTGACAGGGCATATGCCTGGCACGCTGAGCCCCTAGATTTGGACCCAAGCACCAGGAAAGAAAAGGACAAGGCATCCTTCAGGCAGCTACGTCTGACGGAGGGAAGCCAGCTAACACCTCTGCAGTCCACACACATATATACACAGCTTAGTTTCTGACAGGCCTTTATTTTATTTACTTATTTTTATGTGGTGCTGAGAGTCGAACCCAGTGCCTCACACATGCTAGGCAAGAGCTCTACCGCTGAGCCCCAGCCCTGCCCCACACCTTTGCATTTTGAAACGACTGAAGGAAAAGCCAGCAGGTTGACACGGGGCAGCCCATGCCCAGAACTCTCACTACTGGAATCAGAAGCAACTCCAGCTTCTCACTGCAACGCCACTCAACCTGACTTGGGAGGCTGAGGCAGGAGGATCCAAGCTTGAGGCCAGCCTCAGCAACTCAGCAAGGTCCTAAGCAACTTAGCAAGACTGTCTCAAGATAGAAAATAAAAAGGGCTGGTGGTGCAGCTCAGTGGGGGCATCCGAGGTTCAACCAACGCCAGCGCGGGCTCAGAGTCCACAGGCTAGGCAGTGCCCAGCTCATCCCTCCACTTTCCAAAGCCACTAGAGGAGATTGCCACTCAGGGGCTGGGAACTCAGCAGGGCTGGGAGGTACCGGCTTCTCCCCGTAGCACCCCAGGACACACCCCACCCTGGCCCACACACTTACATGATGGTCTGGGGATTCTGTAGCACACAGGCCTTTGGTCCAAACGTGGTCACTGGGCAGGGCCCATGGAGAGAGCGTGTCCTCCTGCAGGGGCACAGAGGGCTGCCGTCAGAGCAGTGTGCAGCTGGCRACACGCAGTCACGTCAGACTCTGAGGACACGCATGGCGTGAGCCTGAGCAGCCACCACCGCCTCCAGGGTCAGCCCAGAGGTCCTGCCCCGGCCCCGGCCCCAGGCTGAGCTCACAACAAGACACGTCCTGAGAACCAGTGAGTGCCACCTGGAGGACCTGGGCCAGACTGCAGCTCCAAGGCACCCTGGTCCCCAGAAAGAATGAGCTCAGCAGCCCAACTTCCGTGGTCCCCGAAAAGGGACTCGGCCAGCTGAACCCCGACAAAGGGCCTGCTCCAGGCCATCACCTGGGGGGCTGCATCTGGGCTGCCCACCTGCCCAGCAATGGTGGGCAGCCCCATGACTGCTCTCCTCAGGAGGCTCCCTCCCTGGCCTCCAGGCCTCACAATCCTTCACGCACCAAGGTGACTGTCACCAAGCCAGAGGACCAGGACCTGCAAGGTCGCTCACCTTCCACTGCCCATCCCACGACTCCCCAAACTGCCCAGTCCTGATGCAGATAAAAGACCTGCCCTGCCCTGGGCGATGGGCCGCCTACGGGCCATGGAGTCTGGCCAGGCCTATGCTGACACGGAGAGGGGTCACCTGGGTGCCAGGGCCTTTGTGGACTAAGCTCTAGGTTTGTCTACAAAAGTCTAAAAATCATGCAGATTATCACACAGAACTCCGGCTGGGAAGGTCAAAGGTTGTTGGAAAGACGGTCCAGTGCCTGCAGAGACTACAGGTGGCCAGGTGGACGACCAGTTTCCCTCTCTGTTCCTCAGAACAGCTGTGTGCCACGCTACTTCACCCTGGGACCCCAAAAAGGCTGCCCAGACCCTCACCACTCTCATGGTTCAAAGTCCCGTGGACACACAAAAGGTGTGCTGTGCTAAGTCCACGGGAACAGGGGGCAGCCAGCCGTCATCCCAGCCAAAAGGGAGCTGAGGCAGGAGGAGGCAGGTGGGCTGCTCGGTGAGACCCTGTCTCAAAATAAAAACTCAGCAGAGCTGGGTGCAGCCCGGGGTGGAGGCCTGACTGCCCTGTTGCTGCACACAGATGCGTGTGCACCCACGGCCCACTGGACCCACCCCAGCTGTCCCCTCCCCACCCCACCACCAGAGTCTTGGAAGGCCCCTCAGCTCCCTGAACAGATGTGGGCTTTTTATTTCATGGGGTGCTTTGCCCTACCAGAGCGGGACTGAGACTCCCTCCTCAGGTCGATGGTGCGAGGTACACAGCTTTGTCAACGTCCCCAGCGCCCAAGCAAGCCGCCTGCTCTGTACCCCACTCTCAAGACGCTGGCTTTGTTTAAGCATCTTAACACCAACATACAAAAACCAGAGCTCTCGTGTTAGTATGACCTCTCCATAGGTGACTCCATCACTCAAGGTCACCCACAGGCTGCAGCACCCAGGGTCCCCCGCCCTGTGGCCTGCGACCCTGGAGAATGCATGCAAAGAGTTGCGCCTCACCCACACCCCAACCCCACACGGGACGGACACGGCTGTAGACCACGCTGGTTCCTGGCGGGCTTCTCTATGAAAGGCACCAGAATCACTGTCCCCAGGATTGAGAGCCACACCCCAGGCGCCACTGGAACCCTGCGCTCATCAGGCCGCCTTCCCAAGGCCCTGAGTGCTGCTGTATGGGTGACATTGTACCAGGGCAGGCCACCGGAAAGGGCCCCATGGCCCTGCACCTGAGACCCACGTCCCCGACGTGAAGGGCTGGCCCAGCACAGGAGGCTGGTACCTCAGCCCTGCCCACCTTCTTTCCCTGCACTGAGCAGGCTCCACCGAGCCGGCGCCCCCAGCATGGCTCCCAGGTGGAAAGAAGACAGACACGGCTCAGCTGCAGGTGGCCCTGGACATACCCTGCTCTGCTCTCGGAGGCAGCTCCCCRGGCAACACCCAGCCCAGCCTGTGGCGAGTGTGGACCTGCTTAGAAGGACTGTGCAGTGCGGCAGCCACACTGCAGCACCTTCCTAGTCCTACCTGGACTCCTTGGTGCTGCCCAGGGCAGGTGAGGCCGACAGGCTCCGAGACTTGGCGCGACCCCGGACAGGGCGGCTGTAGCTCCAGGCCTCGTCCCCATGACATGCTGAGCAGCAGTACGAGGCCGCGTCTGGGCTCAGCTCCTTACTCACATTCATCTTCTCTTGTTCCATTTCCATAGTTGATAAACGAGAACTTCTGCCAGAAAAGCAGACGCCTTGATCCAATGAAATAAAGAGAGTCAGTCGGTGTGAAGTTGCCCTGGTGTGTGTGTGTGTGTGTGTGTCTCTCTCACACACACACACACACACACACACACACACACACACACTCACACACGTGCGCGCACCCCTCCCTCTGCCCCTCCTCTGCCATGTGGAGTGGAGCAGGGCGCGCCCACTGTTCTGCCCACACGCTCCTTCCAAGGGAATGAGCGCCAGAAGCCGCTGTACCCAGCCGCTGTACCCAAGTGCTTTGAAAATGGGCTGCTTCCACCCCAAAGATGTTCRAGAACTCAGGGGCCCACCTGAGGCTTGTGAGTGAACCTAGAGAGCTAAAGCAGAAAAAAATAACCAGTGGGGGCCACAACRGAGCAATGGCGGCTGCATCACAGGGCAGGCCAGGGGCTCAGGGGTGGATGCCGTGCCCAGGGGCAGAGCCCCATGGCCAGCGGAGATGCCTGAAATGAAAGGCCACGCGGTGGACTGCACAGCATGCCAAGTGGAGAGGAGAAGGCCGAGTGCCTCGCCCATGACCTCCTAGCCCAGGAAGGCTGTAAGGGCTCCGGCAGGCCTGCCAAGAGGATGAGCCCGACCAGCGTCAGAGCCACAGAGGAAACCCGGGCTCCAGGCAGCAGCGAGGGCAGAGCTTTGCACCTCTGACCACAGCAGCAGGCTCAGGAGAGCAGAGGCCAGGAACTAAGGACAGCAACCTTACCAATCACGATTTCTGGAACTTTCTCCCAACCAGCTCAGGGGTCAAGGCCAAGACAGAACTCACAGGTGCACCATCAGCGGATGAGTGGCAGCAGACACAGCCCCAAGCACCGGCCCCTTAAAGCTGTGCGAGAGCTGTCGAGTGGGAAGTGGCCAGCCACCTGATCTCAGCCAACATGGAGCGGAGCCAGCCAGGGAGGGCCAGTGGCAGGAACTGGCCCACAGAACAGAGAAGCCTGTTGTCCCACCACTCGGGCAGGAGGGTGCAAGGTCCAGGCCAGCCTGGTCAACTCAGCAAGACCCTGCCTCAAGGCAAAAGACGGAAGGGCAGGAGCTGCAGCTCAGCGGTTCACACCCAAGTCCCATCTCAGGAAAGAAGACAAGGAAAAGAGGGTCTGGAGAGGAACTGAACGACGATAAACCACAATCTCCACAGAGGGTCCATCAGGAGGCAGGCTTCTCCTCAAGTCACCAGGGGGTCATGAGAGAAGCCCACGCGGCCTTGGCGACAGCCCCTGTCCTCCGCAGGCCAGCCTGACTGGGCAGGACACCCTGAGGCTCGGCACGGGGCAGAGGGGAGAGCAGCCAACAGGGTCCTACAGCTGGCCTCCAGCGGGCAGGAAGCCCTGGACGGCTGGATGGAGGCTGGGCAGAGTAGCCCAGGGTGTGTTCTCCTTACAGAAGAAAACTCCGCCAGCCAGGACGCCGCAGCAGAGGTGCTAGGCCGGCCGAGGCCACTGGACTGGCCTTGCCGGGCCAAGCAGGGCTGTATTTGGGGATGGGGCCTCARCAGGTGATCAAGGGAAACACCCATGGGTGGCCTGACCAGGCGGTGTGTCTGCAGGACTCCACCCTCCACCCCGGGGTCAGGCCACGCAGGGCCAGGAACGTCAGCCACTGGCGCCAACGCTGGGCGTCAGTCACTGCAGTCCGCGAGCCAAGACACCTGGGGCGCTGGCAAGGGGCAGCATCAAGGTTAGAGGTGGGGCAGTCCCTGAGTCCTCGCAGCTGGCTCTCCTTCTGGGTACATTTTACAATTGCCTGAGGTCCTTCCAAAAAAAAAAAAAAGAAAAAAAATGCCAACTCTTAGGTCTCACCTTCTCCAAGGGACCAGGGTGAGGCCTCACCTGTCGACAGACCAGGCTAACATGTAGTTAGAGCGGAGAGCACTGCTCTTGTGGTCAATATCCTCCTGGAGTTTACTGAAAATCAGACCTACAAAAACTTGTAGACAGAACCATCTGGACCCATCGGTGCACTGGAGGCCAGAGCCAGCACAGTCCGGCAGGAAGAGGGGCGCACAGGCAGTTAGCAGGCACGCACCAGACACGGACTTCTCTCTGGAAAGCCACAGAGCACCTACAAGTATCTACAAGACGGCCACACCGAGCAGGTGAGTCTGCCTGCAGGTCTGCAGGAGGCAAACCAACAGGCAGACCAGGAGAGCACCCCATGGACGCAGGAAGAGAGCACCTGGGGTTGAGACACCACCGACCACACAGCAGGCCCCACAGGAGCAGTGCAGGCCCTGGGCACAGCTGGCAGAAACAAAGGGACGGCCAGTGCACCCCATGCCCGTGGCAGAGCCCACTCAACAACCACCTACAGACTCCCCCCAACCCCGAACCCAAGCAGGGCTCTACACGCTCTGTCAGTCAGAGCCTGCTGTTCAAGCAGCAGGGTGAAAGGTCCAGAGTACCTTAAAAACAACTCAGAACTAGACCAAGGTGGAAGTCCAGTGCCATCTGGCGTCACGCCTTGCTGTGCAGCTGCGGATGCCAGACACAGCAGGGCTGGCACCAGAGATCTCAGGCAAGGAAACAGCGGCAAGCCCAGAAATGCACCCCGTAACCACAGCGCATTCCGGGCGGCTGTGCTGGGCCTGAAGCCAGAGACTGGTCATGCAGATGCTGGGTCCAATCCCTAGTATCACCAAGGGGAAAAAAAAAGCCAAAAAATATACAAGTCCCAGACAAAGAGTTTGCTAAGCACATTGTGATAAAGGACTTGAATACGTAAGGAACTTCCACGAGGGGCTGGGGATGTGGCTCAAGTGGTAACACGCTCGCCTGGCATGCGCGGGGCGCTGGGTTCTATCCTCAGCACCACATAAAAATAACATAAAGATGTTGTGTCCACCGAAAATTAAATATTTAAAAATTCTGTCTCTCTTAAAAAAAAAAACCTTCCACGATTCATTAAACAAACCCCCCAAGAAACACGAGGAAAAGMTCTGAAGAGACACTTCCCCTCGGAAGGTCAGGCATGGACAAGCACCTGAGGAGATGCGCAGGGCAGCAGAAGGCCAGCGGCAGGACGGGGCAGGACCGGGGCCGCACTGCCTTTCCTGCTACTGGTGGCGTGGAACGGCACACAGACTGGCGTACGCTAAGCTCTATGTGCTGTTCCCTCATCCGACTTCTGCTAAACGCAGCTCCCAGGGAGCACCCTGCCTCACCAGCATCCTTCCCTCTCCTTGGAGCTGACCAAACACACCACCTGCCCTGGCCCTACTCTTCCTGGGGGACTCCCTGAGCTCTGGCCTCGAACTCAGCAGCCCAGCCTGGGGCAGCACCAGGAACCCTACGTGAACATGACTAGGGAGTTCGGAGAGGCACTTTCCAKCCAAAGGGTCACTCCTCTCTAGGCGGGAGGGAGACGAGAGCTCYGTCTGCACGGCCGGCACTGGGCACTGACACCGAGGCACTGACCTGAGGCCCAGACCAGATGGAGWGCAGAGGGAAGGCGCCAACCTGAGGGGCCGGTAAAGAGAGCAGGCAGGAAGGCTCTGGACGGAGGCTGAGGGGCGAGGATGGGGAGCACCGCTGCGCAAGGGAGCTGAGCAAAGCCCACAGTGCTCCCACGGCAGCAGAACAAGTCAGCAGAAGACCCGGGATGGCAGTTCCGCCTCAGTGTCTGAAACACGAGGCGCCCCCAGAGCTTCCCGAGTGCCGAGGCAGGGGCGCTCACTGTGAAATGACTGGATCGAGACAGCCTGATCCGCCCATGGGTCACCTGGGTGGTGGCCACAGGCAGGTGGGTGTGGCGGAGGAGGCAGGTCACAGGACACACGTGGCTGTGGGGCGCACATTCTGTTCCTGGTCAGTCTGGCTGAGCTGCTTTCCTCCTCACACCCTCACACCTCGATATTTTGCCTCATCCGACCTCCTGAGCACCAAGGGCACCTGAGACCCTCAGAGCGCTCCTCCAGGAGCGGGGAGAAGCTGCCTCACAGGCCAGGAGGCTCCCACTTGAAGCAGCACCAACGAACAGGTGCCACTCCACTGGCACGAGTGTCCCGCAGCCCTCGTGGGCACACAGCCTGGCTCTGGCACCACACCTCGTGTCCCTCTTCCTCCATGGAAGACCCAACGAGAACCCAAGGTCCGGCACCAGCCTGCAGCACCCCAGCCAGCCCCTGCCTGTGGTCTCCGCCTGTTGGGAGGTTCCAGAACTCCCTCACTCAGTGTCCTCTTCTCTCTTGACTCTGGACTTGGGTGCAGGGTGCTCTGCTGCSGAGACACGCAGCAGCCCTTTCTATTTTGAGACAGGCTGGCCTCGACTTGTGATCCTGTAGAGCTGGGCTACGGGCACGTGTCACTGTCAACGGTCCCACAGTGTCTTTCAAGGGACCCCAAACAGTGCTCAGCAAACCATCAAGCATCCACAACCAGGCAACGAGAGACCAGGGAGAAGGAACCCAGTGAGCAGAGTGAGGCTGGAGGCAGGGCTTACAGGGCCATGTCCCCAAGCGGCCAGGCCGGCGTGGCTCAGGGGCAGAGTGCACGGTAGAGCACACACGCCAGTCGCAGAACCAGAAGGTTCTCAGTGCCGTCACCACCTGGTTCCTCAAAGACCATCGACAGCCTGGAAGCCACACTTGGTTTCCAAAGCTCTTCTCCATCGACAGGGTGCTGCTCCCCACCTTGAGCTGAGCGAGGAAGAGGTCCACCAAGACCCTCACAGGAGAGCTCTGAGGACAGCCTAAGACCAAGGGTCTCACGACATGACTCTTGGGGAGGGACTGTCACGCAGGAGCAGGGCTGGCCCTGGGCTCAAGCCGGGTCACAGCAGTGGAGTAGGGAGCCAGCCGACAGCTGAAGTCCAAGGGCACCACAGGAGCAGGAACCGCAGCCAGGACGCACGACCTCCTGACGGAGGCAGGGCTGCCCCCGGCCAGAAGCTTCCAGGCCCATCCTGACCCTGGTGGGMACTGGACAACAGGACCCAGCACAGAAGGGACACCCAACAGAGGGGCACAGGGCTAGAGCCAGCCAAAGGTCCTGGGGGAAATGGCCACACAGACTCAGAACTGTGCCTCTGGTGCACTTCCTTCTAAACCCAGAAAGTGCCACAACCACCCGTCTCCAGCAGCGTGGGGTCACGGAGGGCGATTTCAGGCCATAAATCCCAAGCTCTGGCCAACCAAACTCGGGACCACAGCTGGGGAGCACACCACACAGGAGGCCCACCCACAGAAACGCCCCCATGTGGCGGCACAGCTGAATCACCTGGGGTGCCCCGGGTCACCAGCTCTGAACCTGCACCCCAAGTCCGGCTGTGCCCCAGGAAGGGTATGGAGAATTCCATCGCTCCAGGAGAAAGAGAAGCAACCACGCAGCAGCCTGTGCCTCTGACTGACAGGCCTCCAGCCAGTCCCCTCCCCGTTCAGACGGATCACAGAGCTCAGGGAAACATCCACTGGTTTATTTCACAGGATACCACCAAGGACGCAGATGAAGACACGCACAGGTGGGGCGCGGGGAAGGGGCGCAGAGCCTCCCACCGACCCAGCACTGCCCTGCAGGACCCTCCCAAGCTCTCTGGACCCTGCCCTTGGGTTTCATGGAGGCTGCACTGCATGGGCATGGTGCAGCACTGTGCGTGTGGGCAAAAGGTTCTGATCCAATGCTAACAGGCCAAGAGGAAAAACCAGCAAGGCCTGGCTGCTCATCTGTCAGTAAGGATTCATTACCCAGAAGCTCTGTAATATTTACTTGCAAAGACCAGTTTGATGACCAAGCAGTCAACTAACTCAGACTCATATTAAATACTAAAACTAGCTTTAAGATTTTAAGTCATCTCTACAGTGTATTTCTTGACAACTCTGAATCAAGATTCACATTTAATTCAAGTTTGTTGGCATGCTAACCTTTTTTTTTTTTTTTGATGGTGCTGGGGATGGAACCCAGGGTCTTATACATGCCAGGGAGGCACTCTGCCACTGTTAACCATTTTTAAAGAACATGATTCTGACTCCATCCAAGTGTGCTCTGATTCCTCAAAGCACACAAATCTAAATGCGACTTCTGAGTTAGGAAGTTTCATTGGGAAAAAAATTGAAGCATAATAATGAAGTATTCATAAAGGATTCATACATACCGTTATACCGTGTACATGTACAATATGTAATAAGGGATCCCCCTATTACATATAATCACAATGCATCAATAAAATTAGGGAAAAAATTTTTAAATCAAGAACTTGGGGCTGCGGTTGTGGCTGGCTCAGTGGTAAGAGTACTTGTCTAGCAGGTGTGAGGACCTGGGTCCAATTCTCAGCACCRCATATAAATAAATGAATAAAATAAAGGTCCATCAACATCTAAAAAAATATGAAGAACTCATACAGCCAGGCACTGAGACACTGTGGCACAAGCCTGTAATCTTAGCAACTCAGGAGGCTGAGGTAGGAGGATGGCAAGTTCAAGGCCAGCCTCAGTAATTTAGCAAGACCCTGTCCCAAAATAAGAAATAAAAATGGCGCTAAGCATGATGACACATACCTGTGATCCTAGAGGCTTGGGTGACTGAGGCAGGAGACTGTAAGTTCAAAGCCAGCCTCAGCCACTTAGCAAGGCACTAGGCAACTTAGCAAGACCCTGTCTCAAAATAAAATTAAAAAAGGTCCGGGGATGTGGCTCAGTGGTAGAGCACTCCTGGGTTCAACCCCGGCATTGCAAACAAAACAAACAATTCAATACGAAACGGTGAGGAAAAACACCAAGGTGCCAATAAACACAGGTTCAACAGACAGGAACAAAAGCTGCACCCATCGACTAGAGCRCAGAGTGCTGGGGGGCAGGCCAGTGTTGAGCTAGCAGACGTGAGAGAATGTGTCCAGAGACAGAGACGGGGAGAGGCTCCTCAGGAACACGAACTCCCCCGGCAACAAGGCTGGGCTGGCAGAGATGAGACATGGTGGACGTGTACCACACTGCCCATGGGAACCAGGCCAGTGGGCCCAGCCTGCACCCCGCCAGCTAAGACCACAACTGGAAGGCAGCTTTCTAGAAAGGTGGCTCTGCTGCGTCCTTGGGCATCCAGGAAAACCTGAGACCAGCGCTTCCCAATGGGGAGCCAGGTGACGCCCCGACTCAGGGTGTGTGGCACCCTCTCCCTGCCTGCACCTTCTCCACTGTTACCATCTGTCCAAAGAACCAAGACTCTTACTTTTATTAACCCACCTGTTCCCATGCAGCGGCCCGGGGCCCACAGTGATGGGTCAGGAGATGCTGCAGACGATAAGTCACCAGTACAAACAGGACATTGAGTCCTGAAATTGCAAAGTGACACCTTCCCGTCCAGAAAGGCCAGATGCACGTGGTAACTACCAGTAGGTGGAGGTGGAAAGTGGGGCTGCTGGAGGAGGCCCTATGGTCACAATCATGTCCTCCTGTCACCTCAAGGTCCCTCCCAAAGGTGCGAGGCCTCTGAAAAACTGCTTTCTGCTGCTGAACTGTCCCACCTACAGATCTGAGGTCATCAAGACTGAGGCCATCCGCATCCTTAAGCAAACCATCTGGCTGGGCACAGTGGCACATGCCTGTGATCCAGACTTGGGAGGAGATAGAGGCAGAAGGACCCCAAGTTCAAGGCCATTCTGGGCACCATAAACAAACCTCATGTAAACAACAGGACTGCCAATTGCTTTAGCAGCACAAACTCATGAAGAAGAAATACCAGAAACATGTAGAGGGGCCACTTTGCAATAATGCTCCTGTATCAGGCTGTACCAGGACACCTGTTGAGCCACAGGAGGGGCTACAAACTCAGCGAAGAAGTGACTGCTGAGGGCAGACTCCCCACACCCAGGAGAGTCTCCAGGGGCTCAGGGCTAGGGGAAAGAGGAGACCCTGGAGCAGGAAGCACGTTATCCAGGAAGGCACTAAAATAACACCAAGGTAAGCCTGCAAGCACAAGCACCAATGAAGGCAGCCTGGAAAGCACTGCCCTCAAGGCCACGCAGAATGAGTAAGTTTTCAGCTAAAATGGAGAGTGTTCCAAAACAAGAGAGGAAAAATAACTTGTAATCCAGAATCAAAGCCAAAGCAATCCCATTGCTATGGAGAAGGGAAGGGAAGGAAGGCAGGTCCGTGGCCAAGGAAGGAGACTGCCATCAGCGGTGCCGGGCACGCCCTGTTCCACAACTGRGAGAAAAGGGGCCCGCGCGGTGGGCTGCCAGACCCACGTTAGAGGCCAGCCTAGGCAACTTAGTGAGTCCCTGTCTCAAAAGAGAAAAGGGCTGGGGTGGTAGGTGAGTGGCACGCGCCCGCATCCACCCGCGGTACCAGGGAGCGAGCGGGACCGGGCAGCGGAAAGGGCCGCACGGCCAGCGGCACCAGGGCCGCGCCGGCGGCTGCCTGCTGACCTGGGCCGCGCGTGGCCGCTGCCTGTGGAAACMTCACCGCGGACTTTGGGAACTTTCGAGTTTTCTGGGGAGGGCTGGGTACCAAGTTAGCACGTGACTTTGGCGAAGTCCAGACAGCACGGCCCGGGATCCTCGGCTCACCGCCTTCCTCCAGGTCCGGGTCCCCTGCGCGGTCACACGCTAAAGCCCCTCGGCCCCCAGCGACGCCCCGCAGGACCAGGTCGGCGCCGCCGCCCATCGAGCCTCCAGGTCCAGGCTCCAGCAACCCAGGGCGCGAGGATGGCCAGCGGCCTCCCGAGGATGTCCCCGACCCCAGACCCTCCACGCCATCCCCCCAGGCCTGAGCCCCGGCCGCGGCCCCGCMGGTGGCCCCTGCCAGTTCCCGCCACGAACCCGAGCCGCGCCGCGCTCGAACGCAGGGCGGAGGGCCAGCGCCTGCGGCGGCCACGGCGGGCAGGTGGGCAGGGCCGGCGCCCCGAGCCCGGACACCCGCGCGGCCTCGGCGGGGCTCCCGCGCACTCACCGGCCGCTGCCGCGCACCCGCGGGGCGTCTACATGCCGGGCCGAGCCCGCGGGCCCCGCCGCCCCGCCGCTACCTGGCCCTCGGCGTCCCCGCCGCCCGCCGCCCCATGGTCGCACGGACCGGCGCCGGCGCCGCCGAGCAGCACTGCACCTCCTCTCAGTGCGCAGGCGCGGCCGCCGCGCACGCGCACGCCACCGCGCACGCGCACGCCGCCGCCCCGGAGCTCCGGCCCTGCGCGCGGCCGAGGGGAGGGGGGCCGAGGGGAGGGGGGGCGCAGGGGCCGACTCCTGTCCGCGCTGGCCTCGGCGTCTCGGCCTCCTCCACGGCAGCTTGACCCTCACCCCCTGCCCTACCGCGCCCCTCGGGGCGGGCGAGGCCTGGCGGACCGCATGGCCAGGGCGAGCGAACCCAGTGGGCTGGCCTCGGGTGAGGGGGCCGCGAGAGAGGTGTCCAGTCCGCCGCCAGAGTCCTTGATGACTCGAGCGACACGACGTGGACCGGGCCCACTGCGGGAACCAGAACTTGCGAAAAGGAGCCCGTTAGCACTGTGCTTCCCCAGGGCCGCCAGGCGCGCTGAGAGGTGGCCCTGCCCCTGGCACCTGCATTCCTGTCCCTTGGCCACCAGCAAGCTGCCCTATGCGCCTCGCACACTGGCCTCGATGTGGGGGGTCTGGGAGTCCCCGGAACAGCTCTGTGCCACAGCCCACAGCCTGGAGGCAGGGGACGAGTAAGAGGCCAAGGCCACCAGAGCTGACCTGAGCTTCAGGCAGAGCTGTGGCCCCCAGCAGGGGTTTGCTGAACTGTGGTCATCCATTTGTACTGCCTCCCTGGCCGCAGATGTCTCAGYAATGTGCCAGGTGCTGTCCTGGGCTTCTGGGCCCTGGTGGGAGACTGACCAGAGAAGGGCACCACGGGGTGCTTTGGACCAGGCTGGCCTCCCAAGCACCAGCCTGGGTTTTCACATGGTCATTCCTTCCCCATGGTGGGGCTCCCTGACATGGCACCCCTGGCCTGGTCCCCTGTGAACTTGAATCCTCTCAGCAGCTTTATGGGTCTCCCCACTACCCCATACCTGCTACTGTCAGCCTGCTCTCCGTTGGGGGACTCCCAGGATCCGTCTTGTGTCTTCCTGGGAAGAATGACACTGCTGTACATGGACCACTGCACTGTGGAGGCCCCAAGGGTGACTGGGAAGGGGGCAAGCATGGTGGGAATTTCGGGGGGATTTCTTAAGCTCTGTAACTTCCTCATGGGTTATTTTGTAAACCCGACAGCTTCCCCAAAGTGACTGCCAGCCACACCCACAGCAGGCTTGAGCTGTTTCCAGCTCAAGAAATTATTGGCATTATAGTGTTAGATCGACATTGAGTGATAGATGCCAGGCACTGGCCTAGGCTTCGAGAAACTTCTAGAGTGGAAGCAGTCACCTGCAGAGGCACCCAGCTCACATCCTTCTCATGTGATCCCTCTAAAGGGAATTGACAGGTGCACAGTGGTGGCCAGRGGAATCCCTTGTCTACCCTGGCCCAGCAGCCTGTGCAAGTGGCTTCCCCATTTTACAGGAGGAAGCAGGCTGTGGCTCCCTTTGGTGACCTTCAACATGCAGCTTCACAGGGCAGGGGGTTCAGGGGCCAAAGTCTCACACTGGCCCATGACAAGCCTGCTCCAACAAGGCCAAGGGTGGCAGGGGTCCTGAAAGCACCCAGAAGATTCCCAGAAGCATTTCACTTGAGCGAGTCCAAAAAGGGAGGGGAGGGCCCAGGGCTGGAAGGAGGTCAAAGTCCATAGGGCTGGAGTTGGGTGAGGAAACTGATCAAATAAAAAGGAGGGGCCGGTCCAGGAAGGGCTGGCAGCAGGGATGGGTAACCTTGCCCTTTTCCAGGCCCCAGAGCTGCTAARTTAGCTGTTAGAGTAATAATTGTGTTAATTTGTTGTTTGGTATTCTTTCTCTTAAAAATGGCCCCCATGTTGTTTACGCTTCAGACCCCCTAATGTGGTCCCCACCTCTTCTGCAGGTTAAATGAGGAGGCCAGCAGGTTTGAGAAGCAGAGGGAGAAGCACAGTGGCCTGCACCCAGAAAAGGGCTGTCGCTGGGGGTGTGCCCCTTGTTCCTAGGAGCCAGGGTGGAGTGCTTGGTGCAGGCTGCACTTTTGGGTGTTGTTCAGCTCTGGGCAGGAAGTTGGCTTCAGGTGGCCTGGCTGCATGGGGTGAACAGGGTGAGCAGAGGCTGACCAGCATCCAAAAGGGAAAGCAGCAGCCGGAGGGACAGGTGGGCAGGAGGTGAGGGCCCTGACTATTCCAAGGTCATCTTGTCTGAACCTCAGCCTCTGGTTTCCAGCCAGTGCACCCGGCACAGGCTAGGCCCAGCATTCTCTGGCTTGGGAACAGAGAAGGGGGCCATCCCATCCAGGGCTGACTCTGTCCTCCCTAGGCGTCAGTTTCCTGCCTGGGCTGGTGGGGGCGACCAGCTTTCTGAATGCCATGTGCCAGACACATCGTGCCACAGCAGAGAAGAGAGGTGGGACAGGCAGATGGAGGAGGGGTCACAGAGCATGGGTTCAGTTTTGCCCAGGAGTGCTTATGGACAGGTGTCCCTTAGGTAAAGGGGAGCAGCAGGTGTAGGAATTCCTAGTGGCATGAGCCCAGGGTGGTGGAGCGGGTACTGGGACAGCGGTGAGACTGGGAGGCTTCGGAACRGAGGGATGAGCCAGTTGGTGGGGACCCGGGGGGAGCTAGGCAAGCCCCCTCCTAGCCTCAGGTCCCTGTCCCTGCACCCAGGCCACCCAGACAACCAGGGGTGGTGCTGATGGAGTCTGTGGCAGCTGCCCTGAGCCCCAGATGTATCTCTGTGACCAAATAGGCCACAGGCAGGGCCCTGCTGTCTGGGGTCCCTGCTGAGGGCCAAGCTCTGCTGTATGTGGGGCAGTACAGAAACCTAGTAACACAGGACATAGGACACGTGCAGTTAGTGCCGGAGACAGGACCATCTGGGAGCAGAGCCAAAGAGGCCCCTTAGTTGTTTCTACCTGTGACAGGTATGCCACCCTCCAAGGGCAGGGCCAGTGCACATGGGAAGAGCAGGGGCTACAGSGCAGACTGTGGGGAGTGATGTGGAAGGACTGGTACCTCCTGGTCACCCTTCAGGGCTGCAGGTGGTGATGCTGCTCCTGTCCCAGTCAATGGTGGACACCATCTGTGCAAACTGGACCTTTGGAGCCTACCATCTGAAAACGCCTGTGGTTCATCCTTCCCTTTTCACAACCCTGGTCAGTACTGCTGTCCATATGCCCACAATGGACACCTGTTTCAGTGACATTGCTAAGTAAATGGAACAGTGGCCATCAGCCCCTGTCCCCTCTGGGCAGAGGGTAAGGGAAAGGGGGCAAGGGGTCTGATCCCACCTGTCAGCTCAGGTCTGCTTGCCWGGTGCCAGGCTTGGACCCCCCAGGATACAGGAACTCCCAAAGAGAGGCACAGARTAGGTGAAGTGACGAGCCCCTGTGGACTCCACACTCCAGCCCAGGAAACCTAMGGCTTAGCCGACCAGTCACTTCCACTTCGGTGGCCTGAAATAGCACCTTACCAGGTCCATCCCAAGAGCTGCTCCTGAGGGGGACAGATACCTGCATCCAGCAAAGTGGGCCTGGCCACTCGGTCCTAGGACCAGCCTCTCTGCTGCTGCGTAGGGGCAGAAAAGGGACACTTTCCACCTGCATATGAAAAAGTGCCAGCATCCGAGCTGTGAGGACTGGCAGTCACCTCTAGGCTCTGCAGCTGGGAGGCCYGGAAAGCACTGGGGTGAGTGCAGGAGGCGGGTGGGCGCTGAGCCACGCGAAGCCTAGCCCTCCTTTCCCATGCTCCCGGGCAGCTCGGTCACTCAGACAGATGAAAATGCCACCTAGCTAGGAGGAAAGGGTGTCTATGGGGCAGCATGGCCTCAGGCACCTTAGGGGACTACACAATAGAAGTCAGGGTTGTCAGCTTCCAAGGAGGGGATGGCAGGCAGGAACTGGGGAGACACCACCCAGGATGGCCCGGGTGGTAGCAGGGGGACCATGCTSTTCTGCAGGCCCGAGTCTGGGGCTTCCCAGGAACTTCAGAGGGGCCAGTGTTCTGACACAGGGGGGAACATGTGATGTGGGGGGACCATGCCTATCAGGCCTCACAGCAGCAGGGGCAACCAAGGGCAGGCAGCCACCCCATACACTGAAATCCCGCAAACAACCAGCACAGCCAAGTCCCTCATGTCAAACTGCTTTATTACATCTTAAATAACAGTACAGTTCAACATAGCATCTACCTTGCATCCAGCCTCCTTGCAGTACACCGACTTTAAATACAGAAGGGGAGAAGGGGGTGAAGAGAGCTCTACAGAGGTGCAGGTGGAGAGCAGGAGGGCCACTGCGCTCTCTGTCAGGCCCTGGCCCTCTGCAGGCCACAGCACAGTTTTGCACAGGTGGTGCAGAAGACAGGATGGCGAAGCCTCTACTGCAGCTAGGAGGAGCACTGGGCGAGGGAGGAGGGGCCCTCGAGATGAGAGTCGGAGGTCTGCCTTGGGTGCAGAAGGCGGTCCTGGCGCAAGGAGGCAGGAGGGCTCTCTGTCACTCCCCCCACCCCTTCCCTCAGAATCCAACAGCAGTCGTTTGCAACAGGACTGTATATTTTTTTAAAGAAGTAAAGAAAACAGTGACTTATCCCGCTACTCAGACGTGTAGAGCGCTTGCTGCTTCCGATATGTGTGCAGAGTAGTGACAGGAAGTGGACAGCCGCCACGGTTACAGCTTTAAGAGGGTATTTCTTAAAAGAAAAGAACACCTAAGGACTGAGTCCTATGTGCAGTGAGCATTTCTACAGCATGCGATTCTAAGAGTAAACCACCCAACATGGCAAACAATCAAAGTGTTTAAAATTCAACTTAGAAAGTCTGAGATCATTATTTTCAAAACATTGATTTGTACATTGTTTCATACACAAATAACCGACTGACTATCCAAGCACAGGACAGGCATCTCTCTTGAGAACAGGTTCCTGACGCGGGGCGGGGCAGGGTAGTGTTAGGGGAATACAAACGTCCCTTCACAGGAAACCCAAGGTGAGAGTGGAGACAGCTGGGCAGAGCTGGCCAGGAGGACGGGCTAGGAGGGAGCTGGAGCAGGACTCTGACTGCGCTCTTGCTTCTCAGCACTCCTCGTCCACAGCCATCTGGGACCAGAAAAGAACGAGCCAGCTCACCGGCAGTATCAGAGGCCTGCCCCAGACACCCGTCTTGCTTGACTTCCGAACACAGAGAAGTATGTCTGAAAAAGGAAGTGCGAAAGCGTCCAGAACCCTGCTATGGACCTGACTCGAAATTCAGAAACAATCACAAGCTCAACAGAGTCCTCAAATGGCTCTGCATGGGTGCCACAGAACAGGACCCTGGTCTGCAATTCCACCCGCTAGTGCAGAGGCGTCTGTCTCACAATTACACTCAGGGTGGCCTTCTGGTTAACATGTTTATTGTAGTATTTCCTTTTAAAATTTATCCAAGACAAAAAGAAAACAAAGACAATGGCCCCGGAAGGAATGCACAATTTGTTTTAGTTTACAGCACAGAGACCTTCTCGTAATGGGAATTGTGCTCTTGGTTTCAGCAATAGGTGAAGGAAAAAGATCTTGCCCTTTGAAGTTCTGAGGGGAGGTGTGGGTGTCCACGTTAGTACGGTTGGATAGGATATGCTATCACTGCAGCGCTTCAAGGTCGGAATGGTCTTCCAGTCTCCGTGGCGTCCACCTGCTGCTGTGAACAGAGCGTGGGTCAACGTACAGACACGGGCACTCAGGACTCAGCCCTACAACCAGTGCCACTGCCCTCTCTACTGCTCCTGCAGCAGCCATGGCCAAGGGGCCATCCCTTCGATCTACTAGGCTCCAATACCACACCACGTCCACGTTACTCTACAAGCCACGCAGCAACTACCTCAGGTCCTAAGAAAAACACATACAGCTCTACTCGGGGAAGGGCACGTGGGCTGCTCCGTTACCTACTGGTGTTAGTTCCAGATCTTGAGGAAGCTGTCCCAGGACCCTGTTGCCACGGCCATGCCATCATCAGTCACCCCCAGGCAGCTGACGCGGTTGTCATGTCCAGCTAAGACACCTGGGAACACAAGGGTACAATCACACACACATCCAGGGGTGCCTTGCCCACTATCGGGCTGGGACAAGTGCTGGATGGCCACACCTCAGGTGGCAAGGGAAGAACACCAGCAAGGGGGAAAGCTTTTTGTTTTTGTTCTTTTTTTGGTACTGGGGATTGAACTCGGGGGCACTCGACCACTGAGCCACACACCCCAGCCCTATTTTGTATTTTATTTAGAGACAGGGTCTCATTGAGTTGCTCAGTGCCTCACTTAGCTGAGGCTGGCTTTGAACTCGGKATCCTCCTGTCTCAGCTTCCCAAGCCACTGGGATTACAGGTGTGTGCCACTATGCCCAGCGAGAGGGGCAAATTTTGTCCACAAGGAAATTACACCAAAGGGTGTGGCCAAGTCCAAGCTTATTAAAGGGGAGTGGCTAAGACGAGTGGACCCACTTGCAGGAAACACAAGCATGCTCCAGGGGATGAGGAGGAACCACCTGGACAAACCCGGGGCCACCCGGACCGACTCTGTCACACTCAGTGAGAAGCTTAAATCATCAAAGGAGTGTGTGGGGGGGAAGCAGGCAAAAGAATCAAAACCCTCTCAAAGCAGATGACCGCATAGGCTATGGACGTAACTATCCCTCCCTTACGGTGCTGTGACACTCCCGCCCACCCACTAGGATCCCCCTTGCTCTCCTAGAAGGGCTGAAGAATGTGGAGTCCAGCTGAGCACAAGAGCAAACAGTCCTGGAGTCAAGCTTCCTGACTTCCAGACTCGCTGGAGGATTCCCAAGGTCAGCCTCCTTCAGGTTAACGGCCATGTGTCCACTTAATAAGAAAGCCCTTTAGCCCCCTTGACAGGGACACACAGAGTGCAGACCAGTAACACACTGTTGCAGGCACTCACCAGGCCCACTGCCATGTTCCAGCTGGGTGTGGCTCTCTTGCGCTCCCCCTGTGGCTCTCCTCACAGGGGGAGCGCAGGTACCCTGAGAGTCTGCTCACTGGAGCGGATCCTGGTCCCGTGGCTGCATGCTCAGCAGGGGCCCCGTGGCCACCTACCTGCCCTGTCTGCTTTGAGCGCATCCCAGACGTTGCAGTTGAAGTCGTCGTACCCGGCGAGCAGCAGGCGCCCGCTCTTGGAGAAGGACACAGAGGTGATCCCGCATATGATGTTGTCATGGGAGTAGGTCATGAGCTCCTGGTCTGCACGGAGGTCAAACAGCCTGCAGGTGGCGTCATCTGAGCCAGTGGCAAACGCGTTGCCGTTTGGAAAGAACTGGAAAGAGAAGGCAAATCAAGACCATACGCAGATGCTCATAAAGAAACCATGGTAACATGACTGCTCAGTGGTGGGGCCATTGCAGACACGACTGGAAGGAAAGTGCAGCAGGTTGGGCTCTGGCAAGACTGGGGCAGCAAGATTCAGCTAAGGTCGGCTGCCACGGACGGGGTTCCTGCTCCCCTGCAGCTGGCAGCCCAAAGCTGGCTGTGTGGAGAAAGAGCAGAGATCCTCCCCAGCCCAGCAGACATGTCCCTCCAAGCCACCCTGGGAGGCCAGAGGCCCAAAACCCTGTACTGAAGTCAGGTGTGTTGTGGCACCTGCACCATGGTGTCCCGGGTGGGGACGGGCCTGGCACAGATGTTTGGCAAGGCACAGCGTGCCATCAGCTGGCCTCCAAGTTCCTATCAGACTGCAGCCAGTGTTTCACGGGGTTCCAGAGTCCTATTGACAAGAAAAGAGAAGCCCCAGCCCAGAGGCAGCCCAGACTCACGCAGATGGCATTGATGTCCGACTCGTGGCCTGTGAAGGTCTGCCTGCACATCCCCTCCCGGACATCCCAGAGCTTGGCCGAAGCATCACAAGCACCAGAGACAAACAGTCTGGTGTCAGGAGCGAGAGACAGGCTCATGACATCTCCAGTGTGCCCAGTAAATGTGGTCGTCTGCTGGCCGGTCTCAATGTCCCACAGAGCACTAAAGCAGGGACAAACAAGTCAGTCTTACGTCTCAGTCTCAGCCCATAGGTCATCTGATATACTACCTTCCACCCACTAGGACCACAGGAAACATCAGCGCTCTCACAGAGGGCAAATGGGAACTGCTGTATGTGAGGGGCACTGGATTGAACCCAGGGGTGGTTCACTACGGAGCAGCATCCCCAGCCCCTTTTATGTTGAGACAGGGTCTCCCTAAAACACTGGGGCTGGCCTGGAACTTGCAATCCTCCTCCCTCAAGGTGCTGGGATTACAGGTGTATACCACTGCACCCAATGTAATATGATTTTGTTTGGAGGAGAAATAGCAAAGCAAATAAACCCAGGGGCAGGGCTGGTCCCAGAGCACCTGGGCCCAAGGGCAGTTCACTCCAGCACAGGGCTGAGGCTCTTCAAAGTGGGGACATGTAGGGCTCGCGGAGGATAGTGGGGCTCCCAATGGCTGCTGCTGGCACTCCATGTGCTGGTGCTGTTCAAGGTGGGGCACCCACACCACTGCACAGGGGTGGCTCAAGGACAAAGCCACTGCTGCCCCCAGCAACGATCACAGAAAGCAGCAACAGCTCTGAAAAGTGCCCCTCTATGTCGGCCTCCAGGGGAGCCTTGCTGGCCTGGCCATGCAGGTCCATTAGAAGTCCCACATGCTGTACAGAGGCACCCTCACCAGGCTTGAGGGACACAAAGGAAGCAGGGAGCACAGGAGCTTCAAGAAAGTGACCAGATGTGAGCTTCAAAACCATCTGACCAAGTCTAGATCATGAGCTCCTGTAAATCTATGGGTTACACTCCTAGGACACTCTGACCCTATAAAGCCCCGGCTGAAGGGCCCGGAGCGGGCCGTGTCCCACAGACTCCACCTCCTCACCAGATGTGGGCCAACCTCATCTCAGAAGTGGTTGTCTGTGCCACAGACTGGCTAGTCACAGCAGCTCCTGGCCTCCCACAAATACCTCTGAAGACCAGAAGACGAGGAGGAGCTAGAACAACTCTCAGGAAGCATCTGATGACACCGTTCACTCGCGTCCCAACTCTGCTGTCTCACGCTGTGCTCAGGAACCCCTTCCTTAAGAGCTATAGATATACGTGGCCAGGGGGAGACACGCAGAGCAAACAGAGAAACCAGGCACCTTCATGCATGACTGCAGCCTGGAATCGTCTGTACTTAGTTCCAGTTAAAAATGGCCTGATAAATGCCAAGAACCATCCTTCCTGCACATGTGGACTTACCAGTGAACAGAGGAGTGGCCTCAGACTACACTGCCAGCCCTGGCCAGGTGGCCAATTTTCTTTATTCTTCAGTGATGGGCACTGAACCCATAGGCGCTCTACCACTGAGCTACAGCTCAGCCCTTTTTATTTCTTGTTTTGAGACAGGGCCTTGCTAACCTGCATCATGAGTCTCTGGGACAACAGGCGTGTGCCCCGTGTCCAGTGCTGGTCTGGTACTTACCACGTGGTGTCTCCRGAGCTGGTGACTATCTGATTGTCATCCAAGAATCGGCAGCAGGACAAGTAACCTGGCAAAGAGCAGACACAAATGATGACCCACACCTAGCAAGCTCAGATCCCATAAGCAAAGAAAGGCACGGTAGCCAATCAGATATGCCTGGAAGACTCTCGTCTAGGCCGGGACAGTCTAAACATTACCTTTGGTTCCATCTGTGCACAGAGAAGCAGCTGGGTCGGAGTGCGCACTGCTGAGCGAGCTGAGAGCAGGCTCGAGCAAGAGACGCCAGGACAGCAGGCAGCACCTCACAGACCACGTGCTCTGCAGCAGGTGGTGGGGCAATCGCACCTACCAGACACCTGAGCCTGGTGTGAGGAGGCCAGCTCTCCACCCCAGAGTCCTGCTAAGTGGGCCAGGCTGACCTGGAGCTTGTAGCCCTTCTGCCTGTGTCGCTGGGATGACAGGTGTGGTCACAACTACTGCACCTGCATTTTTCACCTGCTTTTCTGCTCAACAAAGTATTGCCTCCTGACCTCACTGGCCCTTCACCATTGTCCAGGGTCCAGTGGAACACAGCCTTGCATGAAGTGGATACTGCTTACTCTGGTGGAGCTCACTGGAGTGGGTGGARAGTGATGGTTAACGCAAAGATCATGCGAGGGAGAAGTCAGAGGCCATGCCACAGGGCCAGCCCAGACAGGCCTCGTAGGCCCCAGAAGGACCAGTGGTGGTAGGGGAGCCCAGCCTCAATGGCAGTGACTCCGAGGAGTCCAGTGGTGAGGCTCTGTGAACAAGGGGCATAGGCTGGCTTTCCAGGGCAGTGGCCATGATGTGCAAGTTGGGGTGGGAACAGTCCCTGCCAAGGAAGTAAGGCCATGGGGCTACCAGGATGTGGGCCTGGGTGCAGCACATCCTACCCCACGCAGCCTGAGGAAAGAAGAGAGGCAAAACCAAGGTTGCAGCTGGGCCTGAACTGCCACTGTGCTGAGCATCGGTTTCCTGCGGCACCCATGGAGCCACGTATTTACCACAGCTCTGGGGTTCAGGGCTGGGGATGGCAAGCAGAATGGCCTGAGCCTGGCCTTTCCATGGGATCGTGGAAGCACTAGGGAGTCTCGAGAAGATTCCCATTTAGACTGTGGTTATGGAAATTCTTTCCCTCCATGTTCATGCCAGAGGGCCACGTGGCACTGAGTCACATGAGGAGCTCAAGAGGAAGCGGCAGGAATATGGGAAAACAAAGCACCTATTCCACAGACATCATTAATCTGGCCCCACAGGAAAAACACAGAGGTGATGGACCCCAAAATACCAGTACGTGCCTAGAAAAGGACATGTAAGCTGAGAGTGGAGGCCTAGACTAGGGAGGTCAGCAAGTTAGAAGCCAGCTTAGGCAGCATCGTGAGACCCTGTCTCAAAATAAAATGAAAGATCTGGGGAAATGTTCTTGGGTTTAGCCCACAGGAACAGATCTGTGGTCAAATTCTTCCCAGAAACCCCAGGGACATTAGGGGCCACATAGGAGCTGTGGCCTGGCATGGCGGGTGGGCCCAGCTGTGGTTGCACCCCCACAGCTCCCGTGGCTGTCCTGGTCCTCTTCCTGCCCTTCCTCCCAGAAACCCCACCTTGTGGGGTGTGCACCCAGATGGTGCTGCTCGGCCTCACAGCCCTCCTCTGGCCCATGTGTGAGCACAGAGGGCAGAAGAAAGGGGGAGACCCCACTGACCTCACTGGGCTGGGCAGGAGAAACACAACCTCAGACCAGGAGCAGTCCCACAAGCCGGTGCTTTCCCGCAGGACAGATGAAATGATGAGCCCCAGCCTGCAGCCCTGACACAAGGAGGTGGGTGACTGTCTTCGGATAGTTGACAGGCCTCAGCTCACCAGGAGGAGCCACCAAGACCTGAGTGGCACCTGAGGTCCCCAAAACTGTTAGAGCCCAGACACCTTAAGGCACAGCAGGGGTGGACAATGTAAGCCAGAGTTTCCAGGGTGCACACCAGCTGTCTCTGTGGCATGTGAGGAGGGGGCTGTCAGCTCACAGTGTTACAACTCACTGCCTGTGAGCTTTCATATATGGAAGGAATACAATTTAACATGTTTTATACATATTGCCTCGCTCAGAGAGAAAATGTAGAAACTCTAACTTAGCCAGCAAACGTGCGGCTTGTTAGGGCTCCACGAGCACCAAAAGAGGAGCCCACCAAACATGAAGTGGGCAACACAGCGAGTGGACACTGCCCAAACTGCCCTGTGAGGCCTGCCCTGCCCRGACACACATAAGATTACAGGCTCTGAAGTCACACAGGCCTGCCCCAACCTGTGTGGTGGCTACTCAGAGGCCAACAGTACTAAAGGTTCTTGTGGGTTCTCCAGAGTCCCAGTCTCCCTGTTAACGAGACCCGTTCGGGGAGTACCAGAAGAGCCAGCTCTGCACATTAGAAGGTCCCAGTGGTCTGAACCACTCAGGGGGCTGAGTAGGAGGTCGCAAGTTCAGGCCAGCCTGAGCATCTCGTGAGGACGTGCCTCAAAATGAAACAGAAATAAGAAGGGATGGGGGTGTGGCTCAGTGGCAGAGCACTCTGGGTTCAATCGAAGGAAGGAAGGAAGAAAGGAAGGAAGGAAGGAMGGGGGAGGGAGGGAGGAAGGGAGGGAGGGAGGAAGGAAGGAAGGAAGAGGAAGAGATAGCAGAAGCAGTTCTCAGTGCAAGGAGAGCCACTGAAGCAAGGTGAGTTCCTGTGTGCATGCCCATCGGGTAGAGAGGCACGCGCTGGCCCTGGCCTCTGGGTGGTAAAGGCAGGATTGTCTGAACCTCTTGCTTGGGGACGACTAGCTGCAGAGACAGGCTTGGGGTGAGGTTGGGCAGAGGCAGAGGGAAAGGTACACTACTAAAGCACAGGACAGGTTACCAATGAGGGTCCTTGAGGACGTACCAAGGGGACATCTCGAAAGCAGATGTCACCAGGCTGGGGAAAGAATGCAATATAGATACACACACTCATTTACCCGGAGTAGCTGCTGTGGCCAAGTGCAGCCCCCTAAGGTAATGAGTCTCAAGTGCCCAATTATAAGGACAGTCTCCCTGCTCCACGTCCACAGTGGAGAGCAGAAGATGGGAAACCACAATGTCCAACAACGGAGACAGCTTAGCACTGCACAGCAGAATGCTCCTCGACTCCCTTGAAGACAACACTGTGGTTCTAGTTAGGATTTTACGTAAAAACCACAAAAGATAATTCAAACTTCTTTCCCTCAAGTTCTACAATGAATACACATTGGCAGCTTTAGACTCCCAGCCCGCACAAGGAGGAGGCTGAAGAAGATTCTGGGCAATGGTGCCAGTGCTGACCACTGGCAAGGGGACACCTGGCAAGGTCCTCCAGGAGAAGGGCCAACAACTCCAGGAGCGTCTGTCCTCAGGAGCAAAGAACCATCCACCTACAAGTGCAGGAAAAGCCAGCCGGGCCCATGCTGGATGGCATACAGGGGCAGGAGACAGAGGTGAGGAGTGCAGGACACCTGCTTCACCAACGTTGGTGATATCTAAAAACAAAAATTTAAAAAATCTGCCATAATAAATATAAATCTGTCCATTTCCTGGATATCCTCTGTGGCTCACAAGCTTGACAACTGTGCTTTCATGCAACTGTGTGAGATGCGCTTCCCTCTTGCTGGGACATTGCCATTCTGACGTGAAACCATCCAAGGGACGGCCCGTGTGCTGGAGGCGACAGACACCAACTGGACATGCAGAGACACGGACACATCTGAGCCAGCAGGGAGGCCACAGATGGGAGAGACACTGCTGAGCCCAGAGGGGGAGAGCAAGGGGCAGAAAAGGCACATGAAGACATGACCCAAATCACATGAGCCTGATGGAAGAGAAACTTTCCGTKTTCCAGATAACAAAGCAAAACAAATACAAAGAAAATCACACCCAGACACATAGCAGTCAATTTTCTGAAAGCCAAAAAWAAATCCGTAAAGCGGAAGTGGAGGAGACAATGCCAAAAGCCAACACAGAGTTGTATATATCCATTGGAGTACCCTTCAGGAATAAAGGTGAGCCCAGCCTGGACGACTTCGCAAGAACCTGTCTCAAAATAAATTTTCCCATTCGTTACTACTGTCAGTCCCTTCTCTGCATAATACACAAGTCAAACCACTACAGGTTTGGATGCCTTCGGAAAGCATAGCACAGGGTTGGTGCCATCTGCAGCTTCACTGGGGACAAGGGATCCCTGAGGAAAGGGATCTTCAACACAAGACACATTCAAAAGCTATTTATTTTTTTCTAATTTATCAAGATTCCTAAAGCTATTTCTTCAGAATGTTTAAAGGCAAAAACTGTAACAATGCATTGCAAGGGTGACGACACGTGTTGATGTGATAACTGATTACAAAGACCCAATGCACAAGGAGAGGCAGACAGTGGGCCCTATGTTCATATGGAATTGCACAGCATTAACTGCCTGGACTGTGAAAAATGATGCATGCATCTGTAAACCCTAGAAAACCACCAAAAATGCCACAAAGATGTTTGCCTAAAAAGCCAACTGCTAAAACAGGCTTTTAAAAAAGTCCAGTTGGCCAGGCATGGTAGCGAATACCCACAATCCTAGTGGCATGGTATGCTGATGCAGGAGGATGGTGAGTTCAAAGCCAGCTGCAGCAACAGCAAGGCACTAAGCAACTCAATGAGACTCCATATCTAAATAAAATACAAAATAGGGCTGGGGATGTGGCTCAGTAGCTGAGTGCCCCTGAGTTCAATCCCAGTACCCACCCCCCCCAAAAAAAAGAAGTCTAGGAGAAGCACAACATGGCAGAGGGCAACAGAGCAGGGCCCAGCAGCAGAGATAACAACCACACAGGCAGGGCTGGGATCTGACTAGGAATTTTGTCCAGCACTGACCAGGTGCTGCCTAGTACCCTGGGGATGCTCAGAAGTAGCAGCAAGCCTCATCCCTGAGACAGCCTTGCCATCACAAGGGTGCGTAAGGCAAGGATGTGTGTCTGGTGCGCTCGACACACTCTCACAGCGGAGACTCCCCATAAAGTGAAGAGCCCACGCATGCAGAACAGGTATGAAGTAACAACTGTTTAACGGGTAGAGGCCTTCCGAGGAGGGACAAGATCCATGGCCTAACTCACGCAGTGTACAAGAGACCATGAATAAAGACACACAAAGGGGAAAGGAAAGAAGAAAAAATATGGCACATAAACCTTGAGCACAAGGGTGGACCGGCTATGTGAGGTTGGATAAAGGAGACTTAAAAAGAAACCCCATGTGGGGCAGTCCCATGAGGGATGTGGGGCACGGCAAGAGGACACCACACCAACATGCAGATGTACCAGCTGGCTGAGCACAAAACACAGGAAGTAAAACTCGACAGACTGAAAGGGAGGGATAAGGAAGGACATCCTATCAACACACTTCCTCAGAACTTCATGCAAGTGAAACAGAAAATGTGGACATGTCACAACTTGCTCTAATTAATTAACACGTACACGGACACTGCCTAACACAATGTGGCCATCTCCACAGACCACAGGCTCACAGTTTTAAGAACTGCTTTCTGAACACAATGGCATATAATTCAAAATCAACAAGTTAACCACGAAAACTTCAGATATATGCCCTGTGAGCCAAACATTCACAAGAGCATTAGAAATATATCATCTGATATGATAATTTAAATATGGTACGTCAAGATTTGCAGAATGCAACTTAAATTTAAAGCCAGACTTACAGGCAACCTGTATCTTCAAAAGTGCTTATGACTGTAATGGTGTAARTATACTTTGTATACAACCAGAGATATGAAAAATTGTGCTCTATATGTATATATGTGTAATATGAATTGTAATGCATTCTGCTGTCATATATAGCAAATTAGAATAAAAAAATTAAAAAATTTTAAAAAGTGCTTATGTTTGAAGAGAAAGCAAAGTTTAAAACCAGTGGGCTACGGGCCCACCTAAAGAAGTTGGAAAATTAAGGAGAAAGCAACCTGAAGTAAGGAAGGCTATCTTAAAGAGGACAACGGACATGCTCTTTCCTGGCCCTGAGCCACTCACTCCCAGACTGCCAACAGATGTGAAGAGCAGTGCTGATCACCCGGGTGAGGATCTTTTCCCTGGCTTCACGTGAGGCAGGGAGCCCATGATGTGCTGCCAAGAGTACCCTGGGGGGCTGGGGATGTGGCTCAAGCGGTAGCACGCTCGCCTGGCATGCSTGCGGCCCGGGTTCGATCCTCAGCACCACATACCAACAAAGATGTTGTGTCTGCCGAGAACTAAAAAATAAATATTAAAAAATTCTCTCTCTCTCTCTCACTCTCTCTTTAAAAAAAAAAAAAAAAGAGTACCCTGGGGGACAGGGTTCTGAGGTTGGGGGACACAGCCATAGAGTGAAGTACGAGATGGGGCCTTCTTTTTTCTGAAACGCTGAGCCTTGTTACGAGGGCTGGGATCCCAGGTGAACCCGGGCTGTCAGGACAGTCTGTGTGTGGAAAGCCCCTGTGCAGCAAACACACCTGTTCAGATGAGGAACCTCCCGCGGAAAGGTGCTCAAGATGAAGACGCTGCAGGAAAAGACTCAGCTATGCTACACTGATGCACACGAGAAGGTGGGGACGCCACAGGACCAGTTACAGTGACAAGCCCGCAGGTCCTGACTGGTCCAGGTACTTCAGGCCTAGCTTTCATGTCCAGGACTTCTGGCCATTACTGTGACTTTGATTTGAACCCATCTTATTCATGACTGACAGGAGGTGAGCATCAAAACACGCTCTGAGGACCCTGAGTAAGCAGCTTGCATCCTTTGAAGGTTATTAATGAGTGTGTACCTGTGTGTCCTGCCAGCTCACGACTCACACGCACATTCCCTTCGCGAGTTTTCAGGTTGTAAATGGAGCAAATGTTGTCCAGGCCACCACAGGCCACGTAGTTCCCAGAAGGGGCGTAAGCACAGGTCATGACCCAGGAAGAGCGCAGAGGGATGGCGTGGACCTAAACGGCAGAAACACAGACAAAAATAAAAAAAAATGCCCATAAGCTCAAGAACACTGACCTCCACCAGGTATGGTGGTGCACACCTCCAGACCCAGCCACACAGGAGGTAGAAGTGGGGTGACTGCTTCAAGTTCAAGACCCGCCTATGCAACACAGGGAGACCCTGTCTCAGAAGACAGCATGACTCAGCTTTTGCTTCTCAACATTCAGCCCCAGCTACTGAGAGAGAAATGCCTGGAAACCCAGTGCTGCACACTGCGATGCCAACCTAACGCAGAGTTCACTGAAGGCACGACTCAGAGCAAGGCAGGCATCTGAATGACAGCCGTGCTGCCTCCTGATCCAGAGATGGTAAAAGGCAGCACTTCATCAGCTTGCCAGATGGCTGAGGTTTCATTTAAAAAACAGAACATCTTTCCTGAAGCAACCAAATGCCTGTTATCATCAGTTAGTCACATATACCTCCCTGTGTTTTAGATATACTTACTAGAATTTCTGCGATCTTTAATACACATTTAGTATTCTTTAGTAAAATATAATCACATTAGATTGTTTATATTATCTGTTTGGGCTCATGACAGTACTTTTTTCTTTAAAGCATTAGATCATTATTATTTTTTAGTTGTAGATAAGACACTACACCTTTATTTATTTATTTTTTTTAAGAGAAATTTTTAATATTTATTTTTCAGTTTTCGGTGGACACAACATCTGTATTTTATTTTATGTGGTGCGGAGGATCGAACCCTGTGCATGCCAGGCGAGCGCGTTACCACTTGAGCCACATCCCCAGCCCAAGACACTACACCTTTATATCTGTATATGGTGCTGAGGACTGAACCAGAGCCTCCATGTGTAGGCGAGCACTCCACCACTGAGCCATGACCCCAGCAACACAAGACAACATAGATTTTTTAAAATTTGCTTTTGGGTAATGCTAGGGATTGAACCAAGAGCCTTCCACATGTTAGGCAAATGCTCTATCTCCAGCCTCCCCTAACTTTTTTGAAAAGGGGGCTCACTATATGGTTCAGTCTGACTCAGGTGACCCTCCTGTCTCAGCCCCTAAGGAGCTGGAATTATGGGCATGCAGTCTCATGCCCAGGTGATGGGGACAGACCAGAGCCTTACATTCCCAGGTCTGGCTAAATTCTAAAAATAATTTAATTTATGATTCAAAGTAAAATGCCTTTCAGATTATCCTTTGTAAAAAGCTGTAACTAAAAAAAAAAAAAAAAAAAAGGGTAAGGAAAAAAAAAGCTGTAACTAAATGAAAATCTGTATTTTTGTATTCTACAAAGCCAGGCATGGAGGTGCACACCTGAAATCTCAGTTACTCAGAAGGCTGAAGCAGGAGAATGCAAATTCTAAGCCAGACTAAGCAACATAGTGAGACCCTTTCTCAAAATAAATAAATTAATTAAAAAAGGGTTAGGGATGCAGCTCAGTGGTAAAACACCCCAGGGGTTAATTCCCAATTCTCGGTGGGAGAAGCAGGAGTGTAAGAGCCCCATCCCCTAAACACACACAGGCAGCTAGCTGTTCCATCTCTCCTATGGGACCTCACCATTGAACACAAGACTTTCTGAGACTGCCCCCTGCCAGCCATGTCAGGTGAGGTGGTAGGAACAAACCACTCTCTGGGGGTGTTTCAGGGAAGGGTCTTAAGCAGCCTACCTTGTTTGTGGTATAGCTATCCCAGATGATGAGCTTTCCGTCCTGCGAGGCACTGACGAGAAGCCTGGAGAAAAGATAGAAGCAAACCATTAGTCCCACTGGTCACAGAAATCCCACAAAGGAATGGAATGGAATGGAAACTCGAACTCTGGTGACTTCCAATATGTGCTTCCATGTTACACTGGCTTGAGACAAAACACACCTACTGATAAGAAAAAGAACCCAAATATACCAACTGTGAAGACATGAACTCATGGCTCAGACTGCAAAGAGCTGGGCATCTACAACCAGACCACCAGGTTCCTCACTTGTAGGTGCAGACAGACCCACCTCCTCTCACAGCTGCCACCGCCTGCCTTCCCCTCAGTAAGTCAAATTGGAGSAGATCTCTCAAGAGCCAAAAGTGATACAAAATATTTACTATACAATTTTCTGTTCCATTCTGGCAAAGAGAAAGCCTGGATATAAATAAATAGAAAGCTTTTAGACCTTCCAAATTCATGAAACATTTCTCATCCAAAACCCCTATCAGCTGGATGCAGTGACGCATACCTGTAATCCCAGTGGCTCGGGAGGCTGAGAAAGGAAGATTGTGAGTTCAAAGCCAGCCTCAGTAATGGTGAGGTGCTAAGCAATTCAGTGAGACCCTGTCTCTAAATAAATTCAAAATAGGGTTGGGGATGTGACTCAGTGGTAGAGTGCCCCCAAGTTCAATCCTTGGTACCAAAAATAAATAAATAAATAAATAAATAAATAAATAAATAATTTGAAAAACCACACAACAACAACAAAAAAACCAAACAAACCATCAAATGCAGCAGCCTGTGTGAACACTGGAATGCAGGTCTCAGGTATATCTAGCACCCACCTCCACAGTAATGAGATCAGAAAGGATGCAGAACTGCACCTCAATGGCAGAGACCATGGAGCGTCACAGACCTTTCACAACTGTTCTCTTGCTCTGGGCAACYATGCAAAGTTTGGGGTCTGTGTGGAGAAGCTGCCCTACCTGTACTTGCAGAATTAAGACAGGATGCTGCAAAAGTAAAGCATGACTAACGGGCAAAGGAATTAAAGTCATGTGGAAAACAAGCAGAGTGAGGGTGGTTCTGGGAGCCACAACTACTCATGAGCATTCTACAGCATGTGCTGTTTTGTCAGGTGTGGTGGCCATGCCTGTAACACCAGCTACTTGGGAGGCTGAGGCAGGAGGATGGCAAGTTCCAGTCCAGCCTGGGAAACTTAGCCTGACCCTGTCTCAAAATACAAGAGGACTGGGGAGGTAGCTCAGTGGGAGAGCACCCTAGGGTTCAATCCCAGTTACTCCAAAACAAAAAACACACAGGTTCCAACAGTTTTAGCTGTACGCATAATGTGGCTACTTGAAGCTAATCAAAAGCTTGAGGTGAAACTCAAATATGGATCCCTGTGACACTAAACTACACACAAACTTTCTTTACAAAGAAGTCAACAAGTTGGGCAAAGAATAAAACCTCAGCACTTTGCTACAAAACCAATCAGAACTAAATCAAAAGCAGAATCCAATCCTATTACTTTGCAGATACTCTTCTCTGGTGACAGGCATGGGACACTGCCTTGTGCATGCTAAGCTGTGTCTACAACAGGCCTGTACCCCAGCATTCAGGTGCCATTCTTAAGGCCAACTTCTCCAGGTTCAGACCCCATGCRCCTCCACTTCCCTGAGATAGCAAAGGTCCCCTCTGCTGCTCTGTTTTTGTCTGGCCTTTCTGAGCCTTTATATGAAACATCAGAGCCACCCTTAGCAGCTCATCCTCCCAGTCAGGGGGGGTCACCTTCAGAGAGGTCTCCCGTTCAAAAAGCTTAATAACTGCTGACTTGCCCAGGGGTCAGGGCAACATTAAGCTGTGTGCTGATCCTCCAGAAGGTGAGAGAAGACAGGACTCCTAATCCCAAGGTCAGGTACCTGTTGAGGAATGAACCCAGCTCACTAAGTCTCCCGAGGTGCCCTCAACACCAAGGCGGGAGCTGGGAGCAAGCCMGAGGACTGCAGGCCACTGAAAAGAGCCATCACAGCCCCAGTGCAGCTCACCGTCATCATCCCTCTCGCTGCCGGGCACAGGCCTCAGCAGACTTTTTGAAGAAGGAAAAAGAAAATTAACATTAACCCCCATGCCTGAAATGGTGTCTCCAAAAGTACCACAAACCCACACGTCCTGCACCCAGCACACGGACACAAGCACTCCCCAGGCTCTCTGGCTTGAAAGGGGAATTGTCAGCACTACCACGACTAAGTGTCCCCATCCTACACAGGAAGGAGCAACCTTGGTCATAACCTTGGTCATAACCTTGGTCTGGCCCAAGCCACAGAGCCAGGATCGCGCCCAGTGCCTTTTATCCCAGGCAAGGGCTCCACTGTCCTTGTGAGGAACAACCTGTACAGTTGCTCAATGAAGGCAGGAAACTGAGGACGGCAATACAGGAAGACACAAGTCCCAGAAAACCTCAAAACAACTATTTTGGACTTGCATCTCGGAAAACATGGCTACCTAGAAGAAACAACCCCGGAATACTTTGAACAGCAGAGGCCCAGCTCCACACTTGTTCTTTGGTTCTGTTCTGTGGTTGTGTGTTATGAAACACAACGGTTCAGCTTGAAGAATGATAAAGAACAAAGCCACACACCTACCATCTACCCAGGAACAAGGGCACACCAGCAGACACCCAGTGGCCTCTTGTGCACAGGAGTGCCACCATCCTGAACTCAGTCCAGCTAATGTGTGCTCTTCTTCCTCCCRAATCTGGGCTTTCAAGGTCAGACTCCAGTTTGAGACCACATGGAACACGAGTCCCACACAGCAAGTGACCTGGTGCAGTCCACCCATCTTGCCCAGCCCTGCTCTCACGCCACTGCTCAGGCCATTTGCCCGAGTGCACCTGGCCGCAGCTCACATGTACCCTTCAGGCAGGAGCCCTCAGCCAGGCTGGGGAAGGASAGCACACGGCTGATATGAGCTCTGCAGACAGCATGGCTACAGCGCTGTCCAACCCAACACCGGACACACAAGGAAGCCATATCCTGCGTCACCATGTACTTCTGATAACAAATCTAAGGTGGGATTATCAGTAAGGATATTCTTTCTTCTCCCCATTGACAACTTTTAAAAAAACTAAACAAAATTACTCTTGGGCTAGGAAAGTAGCTCATTGGTAGAGCATTTGCCTGCCAAGTTCAAAGCCCAGGGTTCTGTCCCCAGTTCTGAAAAATATAAGAATGAAAGAACTCCTAATACCATCATCACTAACTACGGTCATGGTGCTGTGTGCTCGTCTCTGAAGTGCACCCTTCCCATCTAGCTGAAACCCTAACCCTCTTGGCAGCAGCTCCTCACGACCCTCCGTTCCTTTTTATTCTCTCTTTGATGCCATCATTAAATGATCACGAGGGCCTATCTGCACATGCAATTGCAGGACCCTGTACAGAACAAACTAAAGATAGAATCCTTTGTTCTCTCCCTATTTACACTCTAAAGCAGACAATTCAAAAAAAGAAAGCCAAGCAGAAAATTCCACTTCGACAACTGAACACACACACACACACACACACTAACTACAAGGAAAGGCATGTTAACACCTATATGTAGGGTCTGAAAGAGCATGTTATGGTCACACAAGTAGCAATGTATTTTATTATTTGGGTGGAAAAGCAGAAAAGCCAGGTTTTCTAGTTACCTCTGAAAGAAAAGAGGAAAAGGAGAAGAGTTTAACTAACAGACTCTGCTTTGGCACAGCTGGCCAGTTCAGACAGACTGGATGAGCCGGGTGTGAACAGGGTGAGGAAAGGGAAGGCCAAGGGAGGGAGGGTGGTGGAGGGGAGATACCCAGAGGAAGATGTAAGTCTGAGCAAGGGGTAGAACTCAACTCAGAAGAAACAGGAGCCATGAGGGGCTTCACCTCCTTGGGGTGGCAAGCAAGTAGAAGGGGACACAAAGATCAGGTGGGAAGTTGGGGTCAGCTGCTAAGGTGCACAGCCCCACATGCCTGCCAAGTGAGGGCTGGAGAGACCAAGTAAGCCATGCACACTCCAAGTTCCACTGCCCAGAACAGGTCTGGAACCCCCAGGAACATGCTGGGACCAGAGGACCCAGGGCACAGAGAGGGAGACAGCTTCCTTGAAGTCCCATGAGCAGCAAACAGCAGAGCTGGAACAAAGGTTCAGAAACCAAAGGACAGGTGAGAGGAGAAGGGAGGCAGAGCTGAAGTGGTGACTCTACTGAGGCCATGAGTGGAACCCTGGCCAATGGAGCCTGTCCAGGGAACGAGTGCCTGTGAGCATTGGACCTCGCCTGCTCAGTGTCTGACTCGACTTCCGAGTTAGTGTTTTCCCCTAGAAGAGCAGAACGTGCCACCCTCGCACTGGTCAGGCCCGTACCTGGAATCAGTGCCCCAGTGCATTGCGTAGATCTTGGCCAGGTGCCCCCTCAGTGTTCTCCTGGTGCGCATCTGGATTCTTCCCACAGGGTCGATGTTGTTTGTGATCTTAAAAATAAGAAAGTCAGTGCAGATGAGCATGGGCGAGGAGCAACCCTCCAGCTTCAGGCTCTCTCCCCCGCATGCCAAGACCTAGCTCTTCCATGGCTGTTGGACAGCATTCTGCACCTTCCACTGCAGGTGCACACACCCTCGGCCTTCCTTTCCCTCTCCTGTGCACAGCAGAGGTGCTGGCTTCTCCCTTTCCCCTCACAGGTGAGGTCCACAGAATATGAAGTACCACATTTTGGCTGCTACCCTGCAGCACTCAGTGCCTTCCCGATGCGATGCGGCCACCACCACCGGAGGACAGGAGGCCTGCCCTGGGAGCCCTGCTCCCCAGGTCCCTCCTAGCCCCTGCACACTCACTTCCCTCCTCTAGACCTTTCACACTGACAAGGGTCAGAGTCCACAGCCATGGGTCTGGCTTTTGTCCTGGTCACAGTGCCTACGAGGCCTACCGAGTGATGCTGTGTTGCAGAGGCACTACAGTCCTTGTGCACGCAGTCACCCAGTCCACTGGCTGCCGTGAGCAGGCCCCCAGCCCCATGCTGCCAGGTTTCCAGCTTAACCTCAACACACTTGCGTTGATAGTAGGCCCACGTGGCCCCTCGGCCAGGCACACAGTGCAGGCCATGGGTAGCAACACACCCCCACACACACACTGGGGCCCCACAGCTATTCCTCTCATTAGTTCCTGCTRTGGCCTATTCCTAAGCATGGCGCATGAGCCAATCTCATCGCAGGTAAGATGTATAGGATCAGGCCGGTGCATGTGGGGCTTGGTACCACGGCTGCAGGCTCCATGGGGATCTCAGAGCACACCCCAGGGATGAAGGGGCTTCTTAACACTGCTTGTTTGAAAACCAGTTTTCAATTCTCTTGGGCACATATCTAGCAGCAACTGCTGGGTCATATGGTAATCTTACATTTAACTTTTGTTTTAGTTATTTTTTAATCTAATTTGTTAAATATGACAGCAGAATGCATTACAATTCATATYATACATACAGAGCACAATTTTTCATACCTCTGGTTTGTCAACATTTATGTCTCCATACATGTACTTAGGGTACCATGTCCATCTCATTCTACCGTCTTTCCTACCCGCATAGCCTCTCCTTTCCCCTCCCTCTCCTTTGCTCTAACTAGAGTTTGTCTAAGCCTCTCATGCTCCCTGTCCCCAACCCCATTATGAATCATCACCCTTATATCAGAGAAAACATTCAGCACTTGGTTTTKGGGGATTAGCTAACTTCAACATTTAACTTTTTGAGGAACTGCCAAAGTGGACATTACACAGTGAAGTTCTAAGGCAGGTTCCGTTGATTAGAGAATGGTCAAACCCACCTTAAGACAACAATATTTTATAACTATCACTTTTGTACCAGGAAGTGATTCTTTAATGCTGGAGAGACACTGCTTTCATTTAGAAAAAAGCCATGGCTCCTCATGCCTAGATTCAGAAGGACTTCTGAATGAAGCACCCTGCAGAGTGACCTTCCACCTTACTGCACAGGAGCCCCAGGAGCAAGGTCACTCCAGTTCTGTGGGCAGATGCCAGCCCCCACCAGCCTCTGCCCTGGGAGGGACACTGCGCTGTGCAATTGTTTCTTACCTGGGAGAGAGTTGCATCTGCACATGCTTTTCGAGCATCCTGAAAGACAAGGACAAAGTTAGTTAGTGATATCTCTTACATTCAGTCCCAGGACTCCCCCCACATGCAAGTTTCAGAGAGCCTCCACCAACTGCAAACAGCACGAGCAGAACAGGGTGGGGCAATCTCCCCTGCCTCCCCTCTCCCCCAGTGCACTGTGCTTGTGGACTGCCCAGGTCACCCTGGATAGACACTCATGATACCCAAACCCACCCAAGCCTGCAGTACCCACAGGTCTCAGAACTTCAGGCAGCCCTGGAAAGAGCACACTGGAAGCTGGGACAGCAAAGAAAAGCATGGGAACCAACACTGCCTTTCCAGGGCCACCATACACATGCTTTTGTCCAGAGGCACCTGAGGGCAAAAGGGGTGGGGGCCCCCCAAAAGACCCACTACCCAGGCCAAACAAATGTTCTTCTARATTGCGTTAACTAAGGACTTTGCTTTCAAGCCATATAATCATTAAATCTAAATTCTATGTAAACAGCAAGGAATCAGGAATCAGACACTCAAACTCTGATTAAATTTCCTGGTCAAAGCTATCCTGTTACCAATCTGTATTCCCTTCTTTTTCCTTCTTTTGGTGCCGGRGATTGAACTCAGGGGGACTCAACCACTGAGCCACATCTCCAGTTCTCCAGCCCTATTTTGTTTTTTATTTAGAGACAGGTCTCACTGAGTTGCTTAGAACCTCACTTTTGCATAGGCTGGCTTTGAACTTGTGACCTTCCTGCCTCAGCCTCCCAAGCTGCTGGGATTACAGGCATGTGCCACTGTGCCCGGCTCTTGATTTTTTTAAACCCAGGGGTGCTTTGCCACTGAGCCACTCCCAGCCCTTTTTATTTTGGGATAAGGTCTTGCTAAGTTGCCCAGGCTGGCCTCAAACTTGCGATCCTCCTGCCTCAGCCTCACCAATGGCTGGGATGACAGGTGTGTGTCACCATACCTGGATATCTATCAATCTGCTTTCATCTCTGTGAACCTATGGAAGCAGGTAAGAACTGTGAAGAGATACACTATGAATGTTAAATTGTTTTCACCACTAAGAAGTGATCAAGGGCTGGGGATGTGGCTCAAGCAGAAGCGCACTCGCCTGGCAGCCCAGGTTCGATCCTCAGCACCACATACAAACAAAGATGTTGTGTCTGCCGAAAACTGAAGAATAAATATTGAAGTTCTCTCTCTCTTAAAAAAAAAAAATGTTTAAAAAATGATCAAAAGTTACTAGAAAATAAGTCCTGAAATCTCAAATCAGCATGTGTTGTTATAAGTAGAAAGCTCTGTATCATGAAGGAAAACGAGGCAACAGCTTTATGAGGTTCAGCATCTGAGTGGAGCATGACCTGAAGGAACCCACCACAATTCCTAGTAAGAAAACGCTTTGTCATCTGACCACCTGTTACCATMATGCCAGCTGGGGCACTGCCAGAGCAGTATTTCAGGACAAACCACCTCACTGGAGATGACCATTTTTTATGAAGTCGACGGCAATACTTGGGAACTGATAGCATGGAAATATGCTGAGATTACTATTACTGCACACCAAACCTAGATTCCAAATTCTTCTTTAATGGAAGTTATTAGTGATTCTGCTTGTTATTAAAACACACCAAAAAAACATTTTTACATCAGTAATAAAATGAGGAGAGCTGGGCTGGGAATGCAGTTCAGTAGCAAAGTGAGCAGCCACGGGGTCAAATGAAAACAGATTCTGGAGTAAAGTAGATGAGAAAGATTCAGAGTAGCAAGTCTTCTCATCAATTAATTTTTTCTGCCAAGTATGAAGCTTAATATTTATTTCCAAATACATGTGTGTTAATATTACATTTGGCTTTTGCTTTAAAAAAGGCACAACAGGAATTTTTTTGTGTGCGTGTGGTGCTGGAGATTGAACCCAGGGCCTTGTGCAGGCAAGGCCAACTGAGCTATATCCCCAGCCATACAACAGGAATTTTTTAAACAGAAGAAATAAAATATGGCACCTAAACAGCTTAACCCTGGTTAATTTCTAACATCCATGTGGGCATCTAGACACCCCTAGAGCTGGCTGTGGTGAGACCACTGCTGAAGAGCAGGGAAAGCACAGGCGAGCCCCGGCCTCTCCACTTTGGCCAGCATGGCTGTCAGGGAGCTCAGTGCCTCTTAGAACACACCCCTTCACCTGCAAGCTGTAGAAAAGCCTCCTGGTGCAAGCCAGCCCTGCACCTGCTAGAGGAGGACAGTGCAACATCCCTCAGTTAACTTCTAGTGCAATGGACACGCACAGAAGAGCACAYTGTCCACTCCTCCACTCCATCAGAGGGAATGATCAAACAAACAACCCTTCTCCTATTCTGTGCAGACAAATGTTAGACCCTAAGCAATGCCACAGGAGAGGCTTCACTCTCTTGTTATGCGGGTGTCCTGCTATCTCACACATGGAGCTAAGGCCTGGGCTCTGGCCAATTCCAGTTTCTGTACCATGTGTCCAGGGCAGCTGGTCTGTTCCTGAGTGAGTTGTGCCCTCTGAGTATTTAAGCTATGCCTTGTTTCAATCAGCATCTCCAAGAACCTGTGTTTCCTCAATAATACAATCAAAAGAATAATGAAACGTCCTTTGGGGTCTTTTAAGCTGAAAATCAAATCTAAGAAAGAAAAAAAGACCCCTCTTGGAATCACCTGCTGTTTCCTGTTCGCTCTGCAGCTTTAAACAGCATGCCATCCTCAAATACTCAGAAAAAACATACTTTTTGAAAGAAGTTTTCTCTTCCCATTTGGGATAATGGACTCAACGGCCTTCAACTCACCCCCTGGTCCTGTGCAAAGGAGGCAGCACAGTACCGAGTCCTCACTTCAGAGACAAAGCCCAAACCCAGGCAGGTGTCTATGGAGTAGATCCTCATCAGGATAGCAAGGGTACAGGAATGGCATGGAGCCGCGCTGCCCACGACGGGCTCCTGGGCCTTGACCGTGTGCATGTGGAATGCACTGGGGTGAATGGAGGTATCCCCTTAAGGGTGGGCTATGAATTGAACTCTGAAGACAAACATCTCAATAAAAGGGCACCAAGCACATACTAAAACACTGAAAGGAGACTTGCAAGGGCTGCTTGCCTCCACATTTTTAATATGGCAACAAGAGCATTTATCAAAGGCCATGTGCCACCACGTGGGCCCAGGAGGACCCTGTGCATTCCACATGTGAGGGTGAAAACACAGGAGAGTGTCTCTTGTCAGTCTCCCTCTACCACACAGCCTCTTGTGAACAGAGCTGAGTCTACATTTATGAGCAACAATTTATGAAAAATTTTCACTTGTTAGAAAAACAAAATGTCCCAGGGACKCAGGAGATAGAGGTAGGAGGATCACAAATTCAAGGCCAGCCTGGGCAATTTTTTAGAAAGTACTGGGTCTGCAGCTCAGTGGAGTGTGTGCCAAGCACATGTGAGGACCTGGCTTGGATCCCCAGGATCACAAAAAGATCGCAGAGCCATGGAAGGCAAGATGTCTTAGCAGGACAGTCACACATGGACACATGTCCACTCCATCGGGCACACAGGCAGTGCTTCACAACCCCTCAGCCTGTACCACTCTGGTTACATTCTTAGCCATTGGGTTTTGGGTAAAGAAGAAATATGATCTCAAAAGCAGTAAACCAGTTAGAGTGCTTTGAATTTAGGGAAAATGACTCAATTACACTAACATTAATATTAAGCAACAACATCACAGTTTTGCTTTTTAATTTACCAAAACCAGTGCTTACTTCAAAATGAATTATGTAGAAGCTTAAGAGTTTGTTTTTTGTACTGCAGATTGAAACCCCAGGGGCTTTACCACTGATCTAGACCCCAAGCCCTTTTAATTTTTTCTTTAAATTTTGAGTCAGGGCCTCATTAAGTTGCTGATGCTGGCCATCAATTTGGGATCCTCCTGCCTCAACTTCCTGAGTAGCTGGGATTGTAGGCACATACCACCACTCCCAGCTAGAAGCTTAAGCTTTTAAATCAGACAAATTTTTAGGCAAGACAGGGATGGAAGTTCTCACCTGTGATCCCAGCTACTCTCGGGAGACTGAGGCGGAAGAATCACTTAAGCCCATAAGTTTGAGATCAGTCTGGGTAACAGAGAGAAACCCCGTCTCAAAACAAACAACCCCCCCAAAACCCAAAAAAACACAAGTATAGCTCAGTTATAAAGTTCTTGCTTGCCTGATGGGTATGAGGCCCTAGTAAGATTCCCAGCATCACCAAAAAATAAAATAGAGAAATATCTTTTGGTCTTATTCAAACAAGTATGTCAGGGAATAACTTTATATCAAAGCAAATATTTTAAAATGTATTTCATTAATCCTGGGTAAAGACACACATTGGGGAAGCCTGACCTAATAAAGCTGATAAAAATCTAGACCCTTCTCACATGCATTGAACTGTAGCAGGCCATTCTAAACATCCAGCTGTAAAATTCCYAAACTAGAGGGTATTTTCTATTTTTTTCCAGCTGTAGATTTCAGTAATTCCATTGTCTTTTCTCAAGTCTGAGACAAACRTGGCGAACATGAGGTTGGTGCTTCTTTCTCCCGCAAGGCTGCTGGGCATGACTGGCATGTAGAAGGAAGCCTATGGCTTTGTCCTGGCACTGCACTCAGAACTGAGCTGCTGTTCAGAAACGTGCTCAACACTGTGACTTCTTGTAAAGGGGTGCTCTGAAGGCCAGCCAGAGCCTCACAGAGGAGACCAAGCCAGTCAGAGGAAGTTCCCAACAGACAAAAGCCCCACAGATGCTGGGTTTCTGCTGATGAGCCTGTCTCCTCTTCCCTCATTCATCATGGCAAGAGGGAGGACAYATACACTGTTGCATTAATGTGTCTCTAAAAAAAATGTTCAGAGGGGACCAAGCAGAACTAACTCCTTTTAGATCAACCTCTCCCTTATAAAAAGCCTGTGGATTCTGCAATTTAGCAATAGGTGTCAGGTGGGGGTATGGCTTAGTGGTAGAATTTGCCTTTTAGACAAGAGGACCCAAGTGTCATCCCAGCACCATCAAAACAAGAAAGGAGGAAAGCAAGAGAGAGTTAAATGTTTGTGGCCTTTTGTTAACCTTTATTTGTTTATTTTTACGTGGTGCTGGTGAGCGCTCCATCACTGAGCCACAACTGCAGTCCCRAGAATTCAATGTTTTAGAATTCCGTTGAAGTTATTCATTGTTCGGTTTTAACCTCAATCAGATACATCTAGCTTTCAGTCTCTCAAAAGTCGTAGGTTCCCACAGCCATCCCTAGGGAATATTCCTCTTTGAAATTAAGAAAAGAAAAGGCACAGATAAAATACTTTTGCTTTGTTGTTGTTAAAGCTCTTGTCTGAAAGCACCTTGTCTACCCTCAAGTTGGTAGCCATTCTCTTCAGGGGACGGGGCAGAATTCACCCTGTGATACAGTGACCAAGTCACAAAACTATTTCCCAAGTGAAGACAAAAAGCACAGAAGAGCCAGGCACGGTGGTACATGCCTGCAATCCCAGCTATATAGGAGGCTAAGGCAGGAGAGTCACAGTTTCAAGGAAGCCTGGGCAACAAAATTAAATAAAAGGGCTGGGGATGCCTCTCAGTGGTAGAAYATCRTGGGTTCAATCCCCAGTACCAAAGAAAAAAAGAAAAGAAGACAAGGAGTGGTGGTGGTAAAACAGACCTTTCTGAATTCTACAGAAACATTTCATATGTATTCAAATAACCAATAATTATAATGTGCATGAAAACAAAGTACTGGATCTAAGACTAGCACATGCTGAGCCAAATTAAGATTCAATTTCAACCGGATGAGGTAGCAAATGCCTGTAATCCCAGCAGCTCGGGAGACGGAGGCAGGAGGATCATGAATTCAAAGCCTACCGCAGCAATGGCGAGGTGCTAAGCAACTCAATGAGACCCTGTCTCTAAATAAAATACAAAATAGGGCTGGGATRTGGCTCAGTGGACAAGTGCCATTGAATTTAATCCCTGGTACCGAAAGACCAAAGCCTGGCTCTATAACCCCCTTCCTGTGATGGTACCGTCTGGTCTGAACCACATGACTAGTGAGCCTGGACACATGCAGGTACGTACTCTGATTTGGTTTTTCAGTTGTTCCGCCTCCTGCCGCAACTGGTCAAGTTCACTCATCTTCAGGTCTTAGTGCTTTCAGTGCCACCTCAAAGAATCCGTGATCTGAGACAGAAACAGCACAAAAAAATTGGTAAGTGAAGATGACAATTACACACTGGCTTTGCATAATGTGACCATGTCTAACAGGACTTTGATAGTGGATTGAAAAAAGAAAACCTGTTTTAGCATTCTTCAGGAAAATGCAAATGCTTAACACTGTCGTTTTCTGAGTCTCCCCTATAAACCAAGAACACAAGACTAACGTTTAGAGTAGACACCACACCAAATCCCAGGGGCAGTTACCTTAGGAAACAACCACAGCTATTTGGCAAACTAGCACCTTGAAGCCACAGCAGTAACCACAAAGATGCCAGGATGTCCACACAACAATCCTGAAAGGACAGAGGTAGTATCCAGCAGTCCTTCATTCCCACCAAAATGGGCCTTCTGGGCCCAGTGAATCAGGCTAGTGGGAGCCCGTATGCCTGCCCAGTTCCCTTATCAAGAGTCTACCAAAACCGTCCTCTTGAAAAGCCTTTTCCCAAGAGGATATCACAGGAGATGGCATTTCTGATTAGGATCTTGGCTGCTGAGTCAGTCATAAATAAGACCAGAGCCTTATTCAGCTGGAACCACCTTATTCACTTCGGAACGTCAGCTCTTACATGCAAACACGGTTCCCACACGGATCTCAGTTTCTCATGCGAGTCACACAGGCTCACAACTTTACCATCACAATTCCATGTAAAAGTAATAGGGTTACTACACTATACATCAAATATCTAATGTCCCCGAGATTTAAACACATCTGGGGGGCTTTATCTGAATGACCCACAAAGCCTAGTTTTTTAATGTTCCTCATCACCTTCCTCTGCACAAAAGCATCCAAAATTCATCATCTCTTGCTCCTCATTGCCGAGTCCTGATGTGTGTTCACTTATGACACCAGTCTCTCTTCAAACAACAAAGTGCCTTTGGGGGCTTCACCCGGCTTAGCAGGGACAGAGGGGTGAGTGTGCCAATCAGCACTGGAAACTGCAAAAAAGTGTCAGTTAAACACCGAACTCAGGGAACCAGAGTACTCGCAAACTCACAAGTGGTCAGAGTGAGTCCGCAGAACTACCAAGAAAGGCCTGCACGGCTCGGCTGTGACCTGAGGCAGAGTCCCCAACACGCAGACCAGGACCTGCGGTTGCTACGGTCTAGGAAAGCTCAGTGTACAGCAAGTTTCAGAAAGACTGCTGACCCTGGGGGCTGCTTCTCCAGGCATTCCTCATGAGGGACAGGAGCCACGAGGAAAGCTCCATAGGCAGAGGGCCCAGGGCCTGCGTGAACAAAGTGTAGTTGGCACAGGACAAGGCAAGTTCACTGGGCAGGCCACTCTCGTAGGGAAAGACTGGGAGTCCCTCTTTTCTTTCTTGAGACACGGACTCTTTTGCCCAGGCTGGTCTTGAACTGCTGGGCTCAGACAATCCTCTGGTCTCAGCTTCTTTTGTAGAGGGACAATAGGTGTGAACCACCATGCCTGGCTCTAACTCTTTAGCACACAAGCCTAAGGACTGCAATTTATGAACATCACCATGTGAGAGCAAGAAGGATCAACAGAATAGGAAACCATGTTTAGAACTGAAAGCTGGTTCACACGACTGCCCTGCTTGCATTTCATAGCAGGTTACAGTGCCAGTTTTTCCCAGTCCAGCACCCCAACAGAATGGTCCTCAGTTGTAAAGAGGCTCCTCCATCCCACCATCTGGAGGCAGTGTGAGGAAAAGGGGCAGTCAGGGTCATCAGGAGGCACAGTTCTAGTCAACAGGCAATTTAGTCAAGTGCAGTGTCATGCACCTGTGATCCTCGCAACTCAGGATCCTGTGCCAGGATTCCAAGTTCAGCCCAGCCTCAGCAACTAGAGAAAAACTAGAAAATGTAAATTTTAAAAATTTTAAATGCCTGGGGCTGGACTTAGGGCTCAGCGGTAAGAGCGCTCACCTCGCATGTGCAAGGCCCAGGGTTCCATCCTCAGCACCACATAAAAATAAATAAATAAAATGAAGTTATTGTGTACAACTACAAAAAACAATATTTTAAAAAATTTAAATGCCTGTCAATAAATTTCTTTCTCACTAGTCTTTGTAAAGATGAAAAATTTAAACACTATTTTCCACAACAAAATCTGGAAGGGGGTTTTACAGCTGAACTGCTCTGGCCCACCTGCAGGTCACAGGCACATGGCCCCAGCTGAGCTGCAGGGCAATGGATGGCACATACCGTGAGCAGGCCACCTTCTGCTTATCACATAGAAGGCTTTCCCCACCTGCTCAAGTTCACGGTCACTGTGAAGAGACAGCAGGGGAACAAGCAGACCAGCCCATAAGGCAGGATGCCCTTCCATGTGAAGAGGACAGGCAGCAGTGCCAATACTAGATCATCTTTTTTTCTACACATAGGAAAAAAGACCAGCAGTGGCTGTTTTTGCAAGAAGGCACAGGAAGAGCGGGGCAGTTTCTGCTCTTCCCTGGGGGTTCATAAGTGGTCTGCTTGCCACCAGCTCCCCAAATTAACAGCTTCTCTATGGAGTCAAGAAGCATTTACATTATATTCTCTACATGTTTTGGTTTAAAAAAAAAAGGGGGGGGGGCTACTGTTAACTTTTTATAATTGCTAGATAAAGTGTGCTGTATCATTGATAATAATGAAATAACAATGCAAAAATTTGGGGGATTGTTAATTATATATTAAATTAAAAAATAACATAGGTTTGAATGCAATACTTCTAGTTGTTTTAGAAGAATATATACTTAGAGGCTAACTACACTTTCATGAGAATCGTTGGCCATGTTTTTTTATCGAGTCTCCCAGCGTTGGTAAAGCYGCTCATACTACTTTCAAAGTTTAAGAATGAAATGTCTGTTAAAAAGTCCTACTTACATTTACTCACTACTGCTTTTCTCCAGGCTGCGCCTTGTCCCCCAGCTCTTCTGGGAAGCCCCACCATCAATTCTGCCTGCCTGGGGCTGCTCTCCTCCAACACACCCGGGTAAGCTCTGGTCCTGCTGAGGCCGCACTTTCCACCTTAATCCCCTAAGACAGGTCCTGCTGAGGTCTCATGTCTGCTCATGACCCACATCTGCCAGTAGTTTTTATTTAGAACTTTTGTTTTAGAAATACTACTCATAGAAATTAAAATGATTTAAAAGCAGCAGACTGGGAGTGCAGTTTATTAGTGCCGAGGCCCTGACTCTGATCCTCAGCACCACAAAATACAAAAACTAGAAAATGTGTACTAAAGGGATCTGCMCCTACTTGAGATGGCATGCAACACCTCTGTAAGCCGCGTGTTGGCAGGGTTCTCCCAGAATAACATTCCACACGTGTGGCACCATGCTTGACAGGCAGTGCCTCTACCACCTCCTGACAAACTCAGGGCAGTGGCATGTGCTTCAGACCAAGGCCCCTGAATGAAGCGGAGAATGAATGCCGACCACCACTGACAGTGCCCCCTAGGGGCACCAGGATGCAACAGCGGCTACAGGGGCCACACGCATGGAAATGCGCTCAAGATTCTGGTTTTGCAAATGTGAAGATTATAACCCTCACACCAAAGCACTCTTCTCTGGTCTGGCTACCGCAGAATGGGAACAGTGTTATCTATGTCACAGAGCTGAAATGAAGATATATATAAATGTACGTGATGCCTACACCGACATCTGAGCAGCAGTCAGGTGAGAGCGCGCACTGCTGGTCTTGGCTGGAAGCGCAGTCTTCAACAGCGGTGATCCCTAACATCACACTCCTGTGACCAGGGAAAGAGGGAAGATCTGTGGATTCAGGCAGTTAAGGGATACCCTGACCAAGCAGAAAGCTGACTTGTGGAAGGAGTCACATGAACTGTGCAACTCTGTAGGTGTGACAACAGCAGTACACGTTTAATGGGGCTTTATCATTTAAAGACAAYAATGAAATCTCTGAAGAACAAAATGGTATCTCTGAAATTTGCTTTGAAACAACCAAGAAGGGAAATAGAGGGGGGCACATAAAAACAAGGCCAGCTAAATCAAGCAATAGTTTAGTCTGCTGATGGAATTTCTTAAGCAGATACTTTTGTATGTATTTCAATTTTCCATTGAAAACCACTTTTTAAACTGGATGTGATGGTGCACAACTGTAATCCCAGCTACCTTGAAGGCTGAGGCAGGAGGATTGCAAGTTTGAGGCCAGTCTGGGCAATTTAGCAAGACCTATCTCAATATGAAAATTCAAAAGGGCTGAGGAATATCCCCCCAAAATAAAAAAAAAAAAAGTGATTTTTGTTTGTTTAAGAGAGAGTGAGTGAGAGAGAATTTTTTAATATTTATTTTTTAGTTTTCGGCGGACACAACATCTTTGTTCGTATGTGGTGCTAAGGATCGAACCTGGGCCGCACGCATGCCAGGCGAGCGTGCTACCACTCGGGCCACATCCCCAGCCCCCAAAAATCACTTCTTAAGATACTGGGGTCTGCTGGGCATGGAGGAATACATCTGTAATCCTAGTGGCTCAGGAGGCTGAGGCAGGAGAATCTCAAGTTTTGAGGCTAGACCAAGCACCTTAGTGATTGATGTAGCTCAGTGGTAAAGTACCCCAGTACCAAAACAACAAGGACAACAGAGGAGGAAGGGGAAGGGGAGGGGGAGAAGGAGGGGGAGGAGGAAGGGGGGGAGGAGGAGGGGGAGGAGGAGGAGGAGGGGGGGAGGAGGGGGGGAGGAGGGGGGGAGGAGGGGGGGAGGAGGAGGGGGAGGAGGAGGGGGAGAAGGAAGGGGAGGGAGGGGAGGAGGGGGAGGAAGGAAGGAAGGAAGGAAGGAAGGAAGGAAGGAAGGAAGGAAGGAAGGAAGGAAGGAAGGAAGGAAGGAAGGAAGGAAGGAAAAAAGAGAAAGAAATAAGAAGAAAAATGCTGGGATCTTGGATCTCAATTCAAAATCCCAATGTACAAACTGGGTGAGGTGGTGCACACCTTAGTCTCTGTATTTAGAAGGCTGAGGCTGGAGGATCAATTGAGCCCAGAAGTTCAAGACCAGCCTGATTTTTTT